CCCATGAAATATGGGTTTCCTGTAATTTTTTCCACCAATCCATTGAGTTTTATAACTTTTAGTCTGAAAGAATCTCATCGCCGACGCCACCAGTCTCCGGGTCCAGCGGTCCAGCTAAAGGGGGTTGATTTCGCAGGAATCTCTGTGGCACTCGATGATATTTATTGCTTCAAGATGGTTTTCCATAGGGTTTTCCATAGGGTTTAACAAAGTTTCATGATTCCATATGATTCCCAAATCAGAAAAAACAATATTGCTCGATTTGGGTTTCAGTTTCCCATGAGTTTCCTATGGGCCTTGGTCGGCCGAAGTTGCTATGATCGCAGGTTGTGTCACCGAGCTCGGCACATTAAACTCAAGAGTTGATAGCTCCGCGGGTCACGGGGGCGGATGGTGATGATGATTCGATGGTCGCTGTCACTGCTGTCACTGCAGTCCGAGGACCGCGTACATTCACAGCGTGGCTTTCAAAGCTTGAAAAAGCTCCAACAACGCATTGCTCTTTTGCATCCATATATATTTTTTACTCCGAAAGAGTTGGCAACTGTGGGTTGTTGAGGTTGTGAGTCCAAATGAATGACATATGGATGATATGTGGACATGGTTGACATCGATGATGGCATTGCCTACAGCAAATCATCAGGATGAGTGCAAGGAGGCGTCAATGCGTTTTCCAGGTCAATGCGACCCTGAGTCATTGGCTTTTCTGGCGTTACGGGGAGACCCAAGCTATCATCCATATGAAAACACAAACATTTCTGGTTGGTGGTTTGAACCCCTCTGAAAATATTAGTCAATGGGAAGGATTATCCCTCATATTAAGGAAAATAAAAAATGTTTGAAACCACCAATCAGATTTTGTTCATCTGAAAACCAACCCCGTGATTTTTGGGGTAGAAACACCCATATCCGCAACAAAAACCCTCTGGTAATTTGTTACATAGCCAGGTAATTAACTTAAACATCCTTCAGAATCCTTGCACTAAACTTGTGACATCAAACCGTCCTCACGGCACCCATCCTGAAACGCGCCGTTGAGGCGCCGGTTGAGCACAACATCTACATCGCTACGCTGCAGCGTAGCTGGAAGGCTGTCGTCCATGAAGTCATCCGACTCTGGAAAAACGAGAATTGTTATCTAGAAAAATGGAAAGTAGTAAGTTTTGGGTACAGGTACAGAACAAAGAGACAGCGCGAACAAAGATACAATTCTCTTCTCTATCTTTAAAGCATCCCATCCTACTGACAGTAAACCCGCCAAAATGGCCCCTCTGTATGAAACCAACCAGCACGAGTTTTGTTTTGAGGTGGTGTTCAACCTCTTTAATTAGGGGTCAGGGATTACTTTATATAAGTACCAAGGGACGAACGACAATGGGATTACAATGCAGATATAAGACGACAGTATGTAATCATATGTAATCCACCAATCATATGTTCCTGAAGCCACATGTCAAACTCGGTTTCCAGGGTATCACAAGCGTGGGCTGTTTCGAGATCCACAAACGTTGGGGTGTTGCCAACTCAACATATGTGACAGCTCCATGCCCAGCTGCATTCAGAAACACTTCTGCCCGCCCCTTTGAAGGTGGGTGCAGAACCAAACACTTTCTGTGTCATGAACTGCCCATGAAACCAGTATCGTTTTGGGGAGATGATGCATTGGGGTCCTGCGAAACCGCAATTTTTCGCATTTTTTTTGGGGAAATTCAATGCTCTCAAAGTGCACCTTCGCAACAACTTCCGACAAAATGTGTACGTTTGCCCTGTCGCACACCGGAGGGTCACTGTCTGCCCTGAGTTCTTCAGGCATGGTGGGGATGCTGAGTTGAATCGACGGAATCACAACCAAACCAGGTTTCCTGTAAAGTGTCCCTTCAACCAATTTTGGAATATTTTGGATTTACAAGCAAATTGGAAGATAATGCCAGTGCGAAAAATGAGTCTGGCATCAGGCCGTGAAGAGTTTCGCACGCCAAAATTTGCATTTTCCATCCAAAGATGTCCATTGTGTTCATGGCTAATTCTAGATCTCCTGCAAATAGGGGTTACTTCGTAGCTGTTTTTTCATTGCCCCAAGCTAGCTAGTGTTTCCAAGCCCAAGTTCACCTCATCAGGTGGTTTACCCCCAAATATCCTGTGATATTCCCAGCGACCCCAGATTTGGTGCGCTCTGCGACCGGCACTCAGCATTGTGAGGCCGGGACACCTGTGATGCGTGTGTAAAAAAAAAACTAGGACAATCTGGGTGATGTTCACATTCACTTTATGGTGGATATGGTGGTATAACCATCAGACAAGATGATTTTACCAACAGATTCAACTTGATCAATCCCTGATTTGAGTGTTTCACCATGTTTCACCATGGATAATGGTGGATTAACTCCTCAATGCATCAGAACTGCGTGATGTTTGCTGCCGCGCACCTCTTCTCTGTTTACCTGGGAATGCAGAGCTCAGAAATATTGGACCAGCTTTGACCTGATTATCCAGCATTCATCTGGGTAAATTATAATATTTCACTAACCTGAAAAATCCGGCCATATTGGGATAATTCCCCTGTACATTCACCATGATTCCAGTGAGGTCGCAGTGGAATGAGCGATGGAACATCTCCATGTGCTTTCATGGACATGGTTACATTTTTACCTGAACATGGACCCAGGCACATGCATATTTGCACAAATGTAGTAAATTATTCAATCATTCTGTAAAAATCTATACATCCAGTCTATGCTCATCTATATTATATTATATGATCTATATAATCCATATGTATCTGCCCATGCATCTGTCTATCCCCGTGCCTTCAATTGTCTGTGGGTTGCCAAACCCATTTCTGCCAATTGTCCTTTACCAGGCCGTGTGGATGGGATGTCTGTTGAATTCTGAGAATTTTACTATGGAAACCCTCCCTATTTTCAATGGGAATCATGGGGAACTCTTCCGATTTCATTAAATTCCTGAAAAAAAAGGAACGGAAAAATCTGTCATTGGATGTGTTTTCTTTCAAGAAGACATTCATTTCACATAAAAATCGAGTATGGCGGCAACCGGCGAACCGGGCCGTGAACCGGCAAACCGTGGCCGTACGGCTGCCCCCCTCCACGGTTCCACGGTTCCACGGCTCAGCCGTGAGCCGTGCGGCCACGGCTGGGCTCCACGGTTCCACGGCTCAGCCGTGGAACCGTGCGGCCACGGCTGGGCTAACCGTACGGCCACGGCTAGGCTCCACGGTTCCACGGCTGAGCCGTGGATTCGTGGAGCGCAGCCGTGGCGGCTGAGCCGTGGAACCGTGGAGCCGAGCCGTGGCCGCACGGTTCCACGGCTGAGCCGTGGAACCGTGGAGCCGAGCCGGGGCCGCACGGTTCCACGGCTGAGCCGTGGAACCGTGGAGCCGAGCCGTGGCCGCACGGTTCCACGGCTGGAGCCGTGGAACCGTGGAGCCCAGCCGTGGCCACACGGTTCCACGGCTGAGCCGTGGAACCGTGGAGCCCAGCCGCGGCCGCACGGTTCCACGGCTGAGCCGTGAAACCGTGGAGGCCAGCTGTGACCGTGCCTTCCGCAGTTCGTTAACTTCATATTTATTTACCAGTAGTACCGCACAAGCGGTTGCGGAAGTTTTAAAAATAGGAAACTTATAAGAGATTGGTTGTTGTGAATCAAGGGTGGCAGACCGAATCCACTGATGGACCGAAAGGTGCTTGAGGTCTTCTCTCTTTCTCTCTCTTTCTCTGACTACCTACCTACCTATCTACCTACCTATCTATCTTCAATGTATCTATTTATCTATCTATTGATCTATGAATGATCTATGTATCTTTCTCTCTGTCATCTAATTACCTATCTATCTATCTATCTATCTATCTATCTATCTATCTCTTTATCTATCTATCTCTATCTCTATCTCTATCTCTACTACTACTACTACTACTACTCCTGCTACTGCTACTACTACTACTACTACTACTACTGCTACTGCTACTGCTACTACTACTACTACGACGACTACTACTACTACTACTTTTACTATTAATACTACTACTACGACGACTACGACTATACTACTACTACTACTACTTTTACTATTAATACTACTTCTACGACTACTACTACGACTACTACTACTACTACTGCTGCTACTACTACTACTACTACTACTACTAGTACTACTACTACTACTGCGACTAATACTACTGCTACTGCTACTACTACTACTCCTACTACTACTATTACTCCTACTCCTCCTCCTCCTCTTCCTCTTCCTACTACTACTACTACTACTACTATTACTGCTACGACTACTACTACTACTACTGCTACTACTACTGCTACTACTACTACGACTACTACTACTGCTACTACTACTACTACTCCTACTACTACTACTGCTGCTACTACTACTATTACTACTACTACTACTACTCCTACTACTACTGCTGCTACTACTACTATTACTACTACTACTACTACTACTACTACTAATAGTACTACTACGACGACGACGACTACTACTACTACTACAACTACTACTACGTATTAATACTACTACTACTACGACGACTACTACTACTACTACCACTACTACTACTACTACTAGGACGGCTGAGCCGTGGAGCCGTGCGCCGTGGAACCGTGGAAACCGTGAACCGTACGGTTTCCACGGTTCCACGGCTCACGGCTGGAGAGTGCCCGTCGCCGCCCTTCTGTAAAAATCACCACCATCACCACCATCACCACCATCATCACCATCACCATCACCATCACCATCACCATCACCATCATCATCATCATCATCATCATCATCATCACCATCACCACCACCACCATCACCACCACCACCATCATCACCATCACCATCACCATCACCATCACCATCACCATCACCATCACCATCACCATCACCATCACCATCATCATCATCATCATCATCATCATCATCATCATCATAGATTTATGATGCACGAAATTCTATCTGCTTTTTGAGTGAATTGAAGCCCCTAATTTCTAGCGGAATACACCATGTATCTCATGGTCTTTCTCAAGGAATTTTTCGCCCTACTCGTGCCACGATAAGTCTCGTGAGAGGTTTCCGTATCTCGGCCGCTCGGTGTGTCCTTGAGTCTCACGGCACTATTATCAGGCTTCATTTCGAGCTGAGGCAGTTCATGGATCGCATCCAAAATGATGGTTGGATCACCTGGTTGAGGCAGAGCCAAAAAAAATCCCAGATAGAGAAGTTTCTAGCTCTTTACTGACAATAACGATATTCTAGTGGGATTTTGCTGTTCTATCTTTGGTGTTACTATAGAATTATAGAACAATTCCATACAATTCCCAATCCTGATTTGGGAGGATTAAACTGAGCGACATTTACAGTGAGGTGCCTTTTGAGGCTGCAGGAGAAAGGAACGCAGGCATAAACAAAGTCATGGTGTCTATTACGAACGATCCCGGAAGTTATGCTTGATGGTTGGTGAGTGGGTTATCATCCAGTCCCAGTGGCAGTTGCAAGCCAGTCCCAGTCCCATCAATCTTCAATTGACTCATGGACAATCTTCGATACCTTGATTCCCTTAGGGCTCAAAGAAATCAAATAGTGGTTTCTCAAATTTCACTAAATGAGGGATCCCCAAGTCACCACGCCCATGCCCAGCCCAGGGCCAGAGATGCCCCTCCCAGTCTGAGAGTTGCACTGACATTTTCGCTGTTGCGCGTGAGTTGTTGAAGCTTTGGGAATTGGATCAAACCTCAATCAGGTGACCGCGTTTTTAGGATAGGAAGAGGCATCTTTTTGAGGCATCGGCATCTCTGACTTGGCGAAAATGGCGAAGGTTTCAGCAACTGTTTGAAACTGAAAATTCCGAATTTTGGTGCCTTCGATCCCCGGGCACCTGAAAAGCTGACCCAGCCCTGTGTATCCATCACCTCAGTGACGCTCACCATGGTGGATGTATAGGATGAACTCAAATTTCACTGGGACCATACAATGGGGATGTTTAATATCGATGGATGGGGTTAAACCCCAAATTTCATAGAAAGGGATGGTTAATAGATCCCAGAAAACAGTCATTGCATCAGGACTAGTCGATAAATCTTAAATCCAATACCCAATTGGAACAACGGGACAATTTTTTAGACAATGATTTCAGCTGAGCGACATTCTTCCGCAAGTGCACATCCTTCACCAAGTTGTTCACACTGAAGTAATATTCAATCCTCAGCATCAACTTTCTGATGATCTCAGCGATAATCTGTAGCGCGAGGTTTCTAAGAATACGACAAGAAAAACACATCCATCAGCCCATGGAACAATGTTTTGCATACTGCAATAAGGCTTTCTGAATTAAGGTTTGCATAAGGTACAACATCTCATCTTCATCCTGGGAACAATTGGGAACAATTAACCACCAGGTTTTTACATCCCCCAGATCCTGGGAACAATTAACAACAATTAACATAATTAACAACAATTTTTTTTACTACCTTCGTCTTCATCCTGTTTTTCTTCTTCATCTTCTTCTTCATCAGCATGTTGGTTTGGACGCTCGTTGGGACTGTTGGGAGTCCTGGCAAACCGAAAAAATGGTCTTGCTGTAATAATATAATCAATATCCATCATATCCAATGATTATTACAATGATTATTACAATGAGTATACGGTAAATAGAATCAAGCGTCAATTGACATCAATGTCTCCCAGTGTTTTAAGTTTTTCTTTATTTATACATGGTTAATTGGGTTGTCACTATGTTAGGTAATTAGTGAATACGGTATGATTATAATTCACTGTTAGCAATTAGTCTAACATACACCAATAAATGTCACCAATTCTCTATCATCCATGAACCCATTGCAATTATTCCATTCATTCACTACGTATAATTACTTGTTAATCCATTGATCCATAGGGCATAGTAACTCATTATAATTCACTATCGTGATTCACTATAGTAATTCACTATAATGATCACATATCATTAATCCATCAATCACCATAATTCATTATAATTCATCATAATTCATCATACCCTCTGGTAAATTAACATAACTATTGAAAATGACCATTTATAGTGGATATACCCATTAAAAATTGTGATTTTCCATAGTTTTTTGTATGTTTACCAGAGGGTAATTCACTAGAACCCAATGTCACCAAGTCTCTGTGCCTTGGCTTTGGCCACCAGGTCATTTCTCTGTGGCGACGAGGTCGCGGCGGTGTTTCCACCGGTGTTTCCACCGGTTCCCATGGCGCTCATGGGGCCCGGCATGGCCATCGGCGCCATCATGCCGTCCGGGGTGTAGCCCATGTAGGGCATACCCATGCCTGGCACCACGCCAAAAATGGGTAAAAATGCACTTGATTTCTCCAAACACATACTGAAGTATGAAAAAAATATCGAGGATTTTGACCATCAGAGGTTAGGATTTCACCAAGAAACATGGGTTTTTTCAAGAATAAATATGGGGATACCAACAATAATTGTGACGACTACCCTTGGAAACTTGGGATTGAATCATCCCTTGTCGGGGTACCAAACAGCATGGTGATTTAGTCAATAACCTGATTTAGCCAACCTTTTTTTGCTTTTGACTTCGAAAATCTACACACCATACTTCTGAAACAACCACGACAGGGGGTATCCGGTGGTTTTCCTTGAAGCAATTCCGGGACAGTTCCGGATATTTTTCGGGGCCGTACAACTTTCACCGATGGAATTTTCAGAGGTATACATATACATATATATATGTGAAGCAACGTTGATGCGGTGAAGTGCAGAATGCGTTTTGAAAGTGTAGAAGCTTCAGACCTAACACCCCCCATTTGGGTCTGAATCAACTCGCCTTGACCAGCAAAACTTGTTTTTCTCAATCCTGAAACCCGCTAAAATCATGGATTTTCCCGCATGTTCATGGATTTTCACGGATTTTTCATGCATTTTCCTGGTGGTCTTGGAACATTTGCCGGCTCCCTTGATGCCACCATCATGGGCCTCCCATGAAAGCGGGTGGATACATCTGCATAGGCATCTCAAAGGGCATCTGATGTCCCATCGGAGCCGGTGACATGTAGGCACCCATTGCACCTGGCAGGAACAGTTTTCGCGATGGTCATGAAACATATGAACATACTATCTCTGTAATCATCATCTTGATCATCTTTATTTTACTAAAATATCATGATGGTGATGATGATGATGGTGGTGATGATGATGATGGTGATGATGATGATGGTGATGATGGTGGTGATGATGATGGTGATGATGATGATGGTGATGATGATGATGATGATGATGATGATGATGATGGAATGATCGCAATAAACCGACAATCACCGAATCATAGTGGTCCTCTCGAAAGGTGTAACCGGCGTAACCGTCCTCCAAACAACTTGCTGCGTCCCAACAATGCTTTGCCAGGGGTCAGGCCTTTACCAACTGCAGGAAATTGAGAACCTCACGATGCGGATCCAAAGTGCTCATAGATGCTTGCAATCTGCACGTATGATTCCCTTTGGATTGCAATTTTCAAACCTCAATCAATTCTCGTGGTGATACCACCTGGTGAAAGAACATGTTGATGCAAAATCCATTGCATGTGCAGAAGTGTACATGGTTTGAGGACAGGATTCGAAGGTTTCCACATTGCTTCTCTAGTTTCCGACTACTCAATCTGCATCAACTTCAATGTTGTTGTTCTTTCTCTTGATTTCCTTCAAGTCATTGTTGGAATTTCCTTGTTTAACCTTTCTCGACTTCAAAAACACTCCTAAGCCACCGTCAAACCTGCCTGCCATATGGGCAGTCCCAGAAGCTACCTGCAGCAACTCTGGAATCCCTTCATGACATCAAGGCCTTGTTGTGCAGGATATTCCCCCCTATGATCCCATGTTTTAAGCCCTCCGCATGTCCGCCACTGTCGGTGAAAATCACTCCTATATGTCATTTGGGATGGTCTTTTAATGCACCCCATTTCCAGCAAAAATGAGGAGTTTCAGTTGGGGCAAATACCGATTCTGGTGGATATGAACACAATAATGGCAACCCAAAGGATTTTTTTCTTGAAGAAAGTACACACTTTGAATGGCTAACAATAGTAATTTCTATGGCTACAAATCACCAATCACTGGGCAGCTTTTCGAACGATGCCTGCGGTGGTGCTGCGGGCCGTGCTTCCTCTGTTGCGGGAGCTGGCTCTTCAGCCTGCGATGGGGAAATCCCCAGTGGCCAGCCGGGAAATCAACGAAACGCTGGATTTTCCCCATCTTTGATTTACCGCTTTCCTTAGTTTCGTTGTGAAAAATGGGACCTCGGTCAGTGTGATTCACCATGATTCACCCACCTGGGATCAGGTTTTTTTAAAGGCCATTCCAGTGTGTTGATTATTGAGCGTCGGACTTGCATGATTCTGTGGGCGTTTGGAAATTGAAGTGCAACTATTCTGTTTGGCCTCAATCTGATCAACAGCTTGGTGACATGTAAATCGTGGAAGTAACTTGAATCGTTCTGAAATCACGGCGCTTAAAGATCAAAACCGCTGGAATGTCCAGGAACACAACTGTTACTCCATAGAAATGACCGATTCACATCTTTGAATCATCTGACTTTTTCAACAAAGGGAGACCTTTTCACATTGTCCAATCGATACCTTGACAACGCAACGCTGGAGATGGGGATTTCTGAAGTCATGGGGGATCCCTTGGCGCCTGGAACCCACCTTGAGCCGATTGAAAACCTGGAACTGGGTGGGCGAACTGGGCAGTTGGTATATAACTTGTATGCCCTCTGGTAAACTACCAGTTTGCTATTGAAAAATCACCATAGAAATTTCGTGAAATTTCCCATGAATAGCATGGTGGATCTTTCCAGTTCGTTATGTGAGTTTACCAGAGGGTAACCATGATATGGTTAAAACATGGTCATGACCACGGCTTTTTTCAAAACGGATCAGTGGCGATATGGAGCCCCGATAGTTCTGGCGTTGCATCCTGGGTCAATTTTGTCAGCGATGGGCGCAGCAGAATTGTGAAAAAACATGATTAAACTATAAACAATCATCTTTATAAAACATGATTAAATTTTGCGTACAATGAGGCGTCATCCTTAAAAAAACTAGAACATTCCCATCCCCATCTGAATGTCAGCGGACGACCCAGTTTGGACGACCCCTAAGCGACCATTCTCCTTGGTGAATCCTCCAAATTTTCCATGCCTTGCTCGTCCCGCTGATTTCTCTGCCCCATTTCCCAACTGATCTTTTTCATACATTTTTCCATTGCAAAACCTTGTGTTGTCGCTTTCGCACGTTGGTTTTTAGAGGGATTCCCCTAATGGATTGTGGAAAAAAAACACAATCCAACGGGTGTGTCTGGTTTTATGGGGCCCATAAAACCAATGGCAATTCAACAGAAAAGCCATGATGATCGGCCAGTGGATTTAGAGGTATCTGATATTCAAACAAATCCATATTGGTCAGTACAATCCCCTATAAGCATCAACCAATAGGGGTAGATCGCAGCCACTGACCACTGCTCATTTCCTGGTCATGCCTTGGTGTATGAAGACGTCTGAAAATGTTTGTGGACTCCCCACTTGGGCGTCTCTGAAAAATTGAGTGAAACTGAAAATCAACCAACAACATCAATTTGGAGAAAAAATCCGGCACCCTTCATTTTCCCAACATTTTTCTCCAGCCAAGCAACTGCCCTTGCGCCGACCTTTGCCCTTGCCGTCGCGACGGCCTCCTTTGGGGCTCGGCCGTGATGGGTAACTCCTGCCCGCGCGGTCGCTTTTTGTGCTGGAGATATATGCTACACGTAGCATCTTATATTGGGAATGTATATTAATATGTATATATATATATTATAATAACTGAATAAAAAAGAAAGTATATAAATCAAAAACTATATAATATACACTAGATATTATATTATATATTATATATATAATTATATATGTAGATTACAACAATAATACTATGGAACAATTTTGGAACATACTTTGGAATGTGCTATAATTACACACAAATTCTTCCAATATCGTTTTAGGAAACCTCCAAATGTGTCAATAGGTTCTAGATGTTTTCATCCCAGCTGCTATTGGTCTTTAAATCCTGCACATCTTCCAAAACTTAGAAGATCATCCTACAGATCGCAACTGGTAAGCCTACTTAATTGGATGCGGCCCAAAAATTTCGGCCTATCACAAGGTGGGGCCCCCAAATGATAGCTAAGTTGGTTTCTAGTAGATTTTTGTGAAACATACCTATAGATCATGGGGTGAAACAAAACCAACTTACAATCCATAATCAAATTAATCCAACAGGATACACAAGTTACCCTCCGGTAGCTATTGAAGCCATGGCCCATTTACTTCGATGATTTCCGTCGCCTTTGCTCGGCATTCTGAGGGGTCTCGGCTGTGGGATCTTCTTCCCTAGCGCAATGCGATGTTGTTCCGATGTGTTTTGGATGGGACATATACGGAAATATCAAAGAGCTTAGTATGGTTGGGTTGACGTCATATTTTTTTCGAAATAGAACTTATGAGAAACTTCGGTGGGTTAGTATGATTTCATCCTAAAATAGATGGTTAGTATAGCCTTCTATGGATGTTTCTCCTCAAATTCATCAATCACTAAAAATGGACGGCTTAAACCTAAAAGAGGCAACTGGTGCCCCATTCTTGACTGATGACAGCAAATTACCCGTGTTTCATGCAGCTGCGGTAGTTATCTTAGGTGGTTTCGAATCATCCGAAATACTTGGTAGGGATTACGATCACCCTGATTTTTTCTGAGAGAACGCAAACTTTGTGGAATTGACAGAGAAAATTGGAGGATTTATATAACATGATTCCTTGCCACCGAAAAGGGATGCTAATTTTACTTGCAAATGTCCAAACACCAACAAGAGGGAGAACATCAAAACATAAACATGGGGGACGACCAACCCCCACCTTTATATGGCAATTTTTTGCCACGCTAAAATTCAGTGGACCTAGTGGACCTCCCAGCAAAGCCACTGGGCACCTGTTTGCGTTCTTCCCTCCTTTGCCTTTACCTTCACCATTCTCCGAGCCCTTTCCCTTGGCATCACCGACGATTGAAAGGCGATTCACGCCACCGTTGCAGCTGTAGATTGATTACTTGGCTGAAATATCAGTCACTTTGGATCATGATTCCAGGTGGGATATGCATATGTATATATATGTATGTATGTATGTATGTATGTATGTATGTATGTATGTATGTATGTATGTATGTATGTATGTATGTATGTATGTATGTATGTATGTATGTATGTATGTATGTATGTATGTATGTATGTATGTAGTATGTATGTATGTATGTATGTATGTATGTATGTATGTATGTATGTATGTATGTATGTATGTATGTATGTATGTATGTATGTATGTATGTATGTATGTATGTATGTATGTATGTATGTATGTATGTATGTATGTATATTATGTATATACCCAGAGTACTCAGTTCTGATGACTGAGGAGTTGGCACGGTCTCTTTTTGATGCATTTTTTTCTGCTGATTAGGAGTTTCTTTTTCTCTCAAAAATTGAGCCAAGAGTTGAACCGAATCTTTCTGTAGAGAATGCGTGAACTCTTGGTGAATGACTTGGGACTTTGTGGTGCCATATATGTGTATCATAATTAAATGTATAATTATATATATAATTGTATGTATGTATATATATATGTATGTGTATAATATACATATAATATCGCCACCAATGAAACTATAATGATTATTGGTGGCATCACCGTTGGATCCTCAGATTCAGAGCGAACAAATTGCATCAAATTCACCATCGATTTTCCGCGGTGCACGTTGCGACAGGCGTGTCGATGAAAAAAAAGGGGTTTGGACGGGCGTAGCTATTGAACATGGCCATTTATGGTGAGTTTTCCCATGAAAAATGGTGATTTTCCATAGTTTTTTGTATGTTTACCAGGCCGGGTAATTTTCTGGGTCTTTCTTTAGAACTGCAATAAATATCAATAAGAATTCAAACATCCCATTTGGGGGGATCTGTCAAACAAAAATGCCATGTGGAAAATCTATGAACATCTGAGATTCGGACGTTACCGCGGCCTTTGCCCTTTTCATTTTGCTTTCCTTTACCCTTCACTTCACTGCCCTTTCGCTGGTCCTCATAGGACCTCAGTGTGGCCCAAGGGAACGGCAACGCCACATGATCCAATCACTCGGGGTTTCCATATTTTCCAAATTTCTGAATGGTTTCCATATTTTCCAAATTTCTGAATGAATAATCGCTGATTTTTCCAAGCTATGAAGCCATCAGGGATCAACTGGATATACTGACCAGCCAACTTTTTGCGCCAAGCATCTGAATATCCAGGATCTCCCCTGGGTTGATCTTCTTCCATTGTCTCTTTGCCTTCGACTTGCCTGTGCTGCTGCCATTGTCGCGAGGGTATGGCGACGTGAGGTCGGAGATGAATTTACCCAATCATTTGGCTATGGCCAAATGGATTACCAAGAATTCTTGGATGGTTAATACTAAAAAATAGTTTTACATCTGTGGTTTTCCAGTTTTCCATACTAGTAAGTCATCCTCGGTGGCTTCTGACATGGGACCAACTGTCCAACCAACATGAAAAGCACCGATCTGTTTTCGACCAATAATTTTGGACCCATGTTTGATGGTAGAGGTCTCATGTTTGATTGCCAAAACCTGTCTATGGTTGACCCATCATTCTTGTTGCTTCAATATATGTCAATCAACACTTAAATCAGCTTGGTGATACCCTCCGGTAAACTAACAGTTTGCGAACTTGAAAATGACCATAGAAACAGTGGATTCACCCATTAATAGCATAGTGATTTTCCATAGCTATGTAGACGTTTACCAGAGGGTATATTGTAATAATCCTATTGCTTTAGGTGAATATGATCATCCCCATGAAACATCCCCAGTTTTTCCTATGTACCAATGATGGTATACCAGCAAAAACAGTAAGAAATATCATCCAGTTCTGATATTCCACTAGAAAACCATATTATGAAACCATTAATTACATAACCATTGTAGAAGCATGACATAATCATTAATTACATCTCCCAATATGTACCCTCTGGTAAACTAACATAGCTATGGAAAATCACTATGCTATTAATGGATAAATCCACTGTTTCTATGGTCATTTTCAATAGCTGTTTGTATGTTTACCGGAGGGTATGATGAATTATGATGAATTATAATGAATTATGCTGATTGATGGATTAATATGGATTCATGATATATGATCATTATAGTGAATTACTATAGTTTACCGGGCCGGGTAACCATTTTTCATGATATACATCTCCCAATATGTAATGCTTCTACAATGATATCTTCTATAATCATATCTTCCAAAATATGTGAAACATAACCATTTGGTAAACTAATAGTTTGCTATGGAAAATCACTATTTTTAATGGGTAAATCCACTGTTTCTATGGTCATTTTCAATAGCTTTTTGTATGTTTACCGGAGGGTAACAGTTCACCCATTTATAGATGGGATAACCATGGGTTTTCCATGGGATAACCATAGGATTTCACCAAAAATGAGCCATCCCATTGACATCTTACCAATATGTAATGCTTCTACAATGATATCTTCTATAATCATATCTTCCAAAATATGTGAAACATAACCATGATGAATCTCCCATTTTTACATCTTCCCCCAAAAAACACGCTGCGCCTGCGGCCCCCTCGGCATCCATGATCCCAGAGCGACCGCGACCGCGCTCCCGCCGAGCCCCGGGGCGTCTCCGCCGAGGCGACCCCGGCAACGTTCTCTGGAGCCAAAATGGGCCAAAATCACGGGGTTTTTATGGGGGATTTCAGGGAAAATCTACAGGAAACCATGGTTTTTATGGGGGATTTCATGGGGATTTCAATGATTGATATGATGATTATGATGATAGATATTAATGAAATGGATAGATCAGAGATGAAAAAATGTTGATGATAGATTTTCAGAAATGTCACTGGGTTTCAATGGATTGGTTTAAGGGAAAATCTTAACCGGAAACCCATGGGTTTTTACCATCAAATTGATCGGGCTTTCCGGTTAACATTTTCCCATCATCCAATTCTATGATGGTTTTTATGGGGGATTTCAATGATTGATATGATGATAGATATTAATGAAATGGATAGATATTTGAGATGATAAAAAGTTGATGATAGATTTTCAGAAATGTCACTGGGTTTCAATGGATTGGTTTAAGGGAAAATCTTAACCGGAAACCCATGGGTTTTTACCATCAAATTGATCGGGCTTTCCGGTTAACATTTTCCCATCATCCAATTCTATGATGGTTTTTATGGGGGATTTCAATGATTGATATGATGATAGATTTTAATGAAATGGATAGATATTTGAGATGATAAAAAGTTGATGATAGATTTTCAGAAATGTCACTGATTTCAATGGAGTTGACATAGAATTGATATGATTATAGATTATAGAACTACGGATGGAATATAGATTTGGAATTACTAATTGATATAGCTGGAATAGTTGATATGATTATAGATTTTAAATGATTTTAATATGGGTGTGTCTGAAAATAGTGTACCCCTAAACCCAATGGTTAATGATCATTATCCCTATTAAATGGCTATAATTGGGAATATACCCTATTTTCAGACAAACCCATATAGATTTTCGATTTATCCGGATGTCATCTGATTTCACATGATTGAACTGGATAGTTTCATGCGGGCAGATGCGGAGGTTGGCTTCTTGGCAAATGTAGTTGGTCAGTTGCCCCTGTTTCGTGTTTATGGAGATATTGATCAGAAGATATGGACGACATGCAGCATCTCTTAGCGGGATGATGAGTTGCTAACCCAACCATTGGAGGTCTATAGAACTGGTTTCACGGCTTCATAAACTTACATCAATTAGTGTCAATTAGTCTCTGTTTCTCTTATATGGGATTACATATCCATGGTCAGAAAACTTGCGTGACCAACCACTCATCATATGACTTCAGGATCTTCAGGCTGAAGCCTAGCCGCACTTCACGTTGTTTGGGAATGTTTCTCTTAAGCATCCCTTGTGGTTATGCCCAGCCCTACCCAGCAAAAAAAGATACTGTGGAAACGGGAAACTCTTGGTAACCCCAACTGGCTCCCCGTTTCATAGTAGATACCCACTGGGCGCCATATCTTAGGTCCCCAGTGGCTTCCCTTCTTTTCGGCGACAACTGAGTCACTGGATGACCCGGTGGGGACAGCCGGAAGGCGCCACCAAGGGCACCACAGGCACCGCAGTGCCAATTACGAATTTCCCATGCATAGATCGAGTGACTGCAGGTCTTGTGCTGAATTTTTGGACCTATAAGTGACAGTCGAAATTCCTGATCCAGCTCACGATTTTCAGCTGAAATCGATGCGTAATGATCATGGAACCCCGGACACATAACTATCATAAAGGGCATCTCAAATGCTCGTCAGCCACCTGTCAAGGGGAAAGCAGGGTAAAGCGCGACCACGACAACTAAAGTTACAGGTCAGAGTATGGATCTCTTTCATACAGCTGCACTGCAGTGAACTACAATGATATAGGAAGTCATGGTAAAATTGGGAAAGTCATGGACCCTCCGTAAAAAACCCATTGTTGCTGGTTGAGTCTCCATAAAATTGCTGCTAAATTGGCCCAAAACCATCATTTTTTGATTGTTTTGGGTCAACACTTATCATGGTCAAATCCCCATGTGATTTAAGCTTAACCTGATAAAACCACCCAGCTTTCACCCAGTTTTTATAGTGAAAAACTCATGGCATCCCAAGCTCTGTATGTCGACCTCAGGCACCACCATGAGCTGCCACAGACATCATCCGCATGGGCAACCTGCAGAAATTGGCTGTTTTCACCCATCAAGTCCATAACATGTGGATATTTGGGTATCTGAACATGGTGCACATACATACATACACATACACACACATAGTCACATATATATATATACAATATATAGATAGATAGATAGATAGATAGATAGATAGATAGGATAAGATAAGATAAGATAAGATAAGATTAGATTAGATTAGATTAGATAAGCTAAGATAAGATAAGATAGATAGATAGATAGATAGATAGATATGTGTATATATATATATGTATATATATATATACATATTTATATATATGTATATATATATGTATATTTAATATAGATATTGATCACTGAATACCAAGGAAAATGATGGAACATGATGATCAACCAGTGGATGGAATGTGGGTTTTCCCCGACGAAGCCATGTGGAGCATTGGTTTCCATCCTTCATCGGGGTTGGTAGGGCTAAGGATTCAGCTAGTTAGAACCAACAAAAATAGAACAGAATCTCAGAATTGTCACCAAATCTTAGAGCATCTGGCAGTGTGTCAAAACCAATAGTACCCCTTTTTTGTTCACATCAAAATAGCTGGGATTTATGGATGTTCATCCCACTAAACATGGTATTTTCATAGGTATTGATCCATAGCCATCTCAGAATCACCAAATTCTGTGGAGCTACATTCGTGGCAATCGACAGCCTGGCCTATCTACGACTGCCTGGCGCCGTTGGACAAGCCGCTTGGGTTTGAATCAGAGGTCAGGAATTACGGCGGTACAATTGGTGGTACATATGGGTGGTACATATGGGTGGAATGTTGGTGGTATGTTGGTGATATTTGTGGTGTATCTTTGGTGCATACTGAATTTCTGCTTCAGATGCTGGTCTATGGATGTCTATGGTGGTTTTCCAGTGAATTCGTTCGTTGGAAAATCTGAAGGTGCTCCAAAACCCATCCAAATGTAAGGGTTACCCAAAAGATTGTATGGTTGGGCTCAAAAACGACCAATCTCTGCTAAATTTTCACTGGCCATCTCAGGAACCTAAATTGGAGGTACCTACCATATATAAGGCCTATATAAGGCCTATGTAAGGGAATATCCCCGCAAAATATGGCCTTATATGGTACAGTACCTCCATTTTAGGATCCTGAAATTCCCATTGAAATTTCTATAAAGAAATGACATGAAATGAATATTCTGCATCCCATGTTGAGAGTTCTTGAGAAATCTCTCAGCGACTGAAACTACGACTGTTCACCTGTTGTCACCGGGTTTCCAAGCTGAGTTCGGTCCCTTTTCGGGCATGAATCAGTATGACTCAGCATGACCTACCAGTTCACATTGCTAATCAATATAATCAATCTTAGATAAAAAGTGGACTTCAGTGGGATACGGTTTATGATGTTTATTCGGTTTATTCATACGTCTTGCTCCATGTTGACTCATTCAACCTCCGAATCCCAAGGTTTACCGACACCTTGCGGTTTCTGGAGTCCACGTGAAAGGCCTGCGGCTTCAAGGGCGATTGGCAATGGGATTTCTGGGGAGACAACATGGTTTTGGAAAGTTTTGATTGTAAATTCAATTTCAACATCTTCTAGCCCCATTTTTCATGCTTCATGTTTTTTAACCATTTATGGATTTAACATGATTTAACCATGGTTGTTTCATGTGGGTATGGGTCAATACCTATAGATACATTTTTAGTGGGATGAACATCCATTTACCAGCTATTTTGGGGTTCACTAGGTACCAGGGTTTTGACCCATCCCCATGTAAAGAATTCCAATCATTCCAATCATTCCATGTTTCACTGATGGATTTCCATGGCTTGAACCCCCCATTATTCGGCTCGGCTACGGCTATGCGGCTACACATCGCTGCACCTCACAGCGCTGCTGCGCCAATGTCATCGAATCTCAGTTTTGCGTTTTGTCACAGACATCGTCAGCTGGGTATCCAGCTTTTTCAACTGAAATAGCAAGTAACTCAATAAATTTAATGGTGATTTAATGGTGATTTAATGGCCATATATATATATTATATATATATATATACCATTCAACAAACATCAAGTTAAATATATATCCTTGTTCTTTCAGACATCAAGAAATATCATTGAACAAGTAACGAAAAATTCTACTCAATCTCTATCTGGATCGTTGCAAACATCGAAAGTAATGAGTATATTTTTCTGGGTATCAAATTCAAATGCCTTGTAAGCATTGCCTCAGAATGCTTTGTCGTGGCATCTAGATAGAAGCTGAACAAACCTCACGGGGCCCTTGAAGGCGTTGAATTTGACCAACAACCAATCTAGACATCTGAAACAAAGGTCCACTCTGATAAGGGATTGATCTACACACCGGCCTGTGTCACCAAATCTTCCAACATGTCGATGAACATCTCCATAATCCCATCCTAATATTAAACACCCCCTAGCCATGGTTTCAATCATGTTAGGATGAGATTTTCCATGATTTTCCCATTGGACACCAATGATAAAGCCATACCCCCTGGGTCATCGCAACGATCCAGTGCGCTGCTTCCAGCACCGTAGTGGCAATGCACCGGCGAACCCGTGGAGGGCAAGGTGGCGCCGGAGCCTTAGTATTTTGCTGTGATGTAGATGAAGATTCTGAGACTTTTACTGAGAAAAATGGGAGATTTTGGGGGAATTGAAGCATCAGTTTTTCTAGATCATGCAGCCGGAAATCGCTTGGAATAGCCATTAAAAATGGGTGGTGACAGTTGAGCCATTAAAAATACCCGGATCCCATCTCATGAAATCCTCGTTGGTTGAAAACGGGTTCCCATTCCTATGGGTTAAGCCCCAACCCCCAGTGAGCCAGGTAGTATAATCCCCTATAGCAATCAATTCACCAGGGTATTTTGTTCATGGCTCAGTTGACAATTTGGTCCAACAAATGCAGGGCTTTGACATACTTTGCCTCTCCCTAGATCCGGAGATTAAAAACCCCGTCGCACCTGGAGGGCTCCGGAAGTATTTGCCTCGATGAAAAGCGTGACGAGGCTTGCCATGTTTTGTCGACCCTGGATCCTTCGCTCCCCAACTGCCAACTGGACATAAATTGGGAAAGAGATATTCCCAGGTACTCAAAATGGGTCCGAAAATTGAAGGGGGAAAACCCCAAAATCCAATGGTTCATGATGTTCCCCATTCAGCCATTTTGATAGGGCCCTCCATTTTTGGACCCAATCCTGGATGTGCTGGCGGTGTAGACACTAAGTAGGCCTGACAGCACCGCGGCTCCCCTGACATAACGGAAAAAGTTCTGTGAAAATTCGCAAGATTCCGTTTTTTTTCCCAGAGAAAGGTTGGTACTTGGTGCATTTACCAAGCAGATTTGTCATTATACATACATATATATATATATATGTATGAAATCGGAAGAGTCTGGAACTGACCCAGCTTGCGAACACTAATTTATTCACCTCATTGAATCCCCATTCGTTCAATTCCAATATTTGGAATCCCTCACAATGGTTAGATAATCATTTTGCTGGATTGGAATCTTACACTCCTATCCCTGTTTGTGAAATCTCCCCAATTTTCTGAGACACATTGGTTGATCAACAAACTGGTTCTAGGGCATGGCATACCCCTGTTTATGGGTTATCTTGATGTGACAACAATATCATATTATTGAGAATCCACAGAAAAGGGGTATAGCATGGTATAGCTTTGTATACCCATTGAATCAAGAAACATCGTAACTTGGGAATACTCCAGCCATTGATTCCAATCGATTCGGAACCATGCTGCATAGGGAGCACATGTTTCAGACGCCCTGGGAGAATCAATCCCCTGGATTCTGATCTTCCCCAACATACTGGCTAGTAGAAAATGCCCAAACTCATCAACCAGCAATCAACTAAACTAAATCAACTATATCCCATACCCTCTGGTAAACTGACATAACTATATGGAACATCACCATGCTATTAATGGGTAAATCCAGTATAAATGGCCATGTTCAATAACAAACTGTTAGTTTACCAGAGGGTATGTATCCATATGTTTGATGGTTGAGTCCCATGTAAATTCCCGAACTAACCATCAACCAGCTGACCTCATCATCCATCCAGCGTGGAGAATGGCCTGGTGATTTCATCAACCAACAAACGAAAAGGGATAACAATATGTTCATTTGAGATAATATGATCATAATATATCATAATATTATATGATAACCAATAAATAGACTGTTGATCAATGGGAGATCATGATCTTATATAAATTGATGAGATGTATATATATATATAATTATGATATATAACCATCAAAAATACGTATATATATGATATATAGTGATGGGATATAAACATGACATTTAATCTCAAACTGGGGATATAAGCAATGAGAGATCATATGAGATCCGTGTTTCAAGCAATGGTTAAGCCAAGCACATTCATGAATGAGAACAGATGGAGACTTGACCAACATTGGGTAGCAACACATTCATGCAACATGGGCAAACATCTGGAGCATGTCTGATCTACTCACTTCACTTCGGGATGAACTTGGTGAAACAATGGTGCCCTGGTGAACATCAAAATCGCTGCTGGTTGATCTTCAGCTCCAATTCAAGAACATTGATATGAACAATTATGAAAATATGAGAAAATCATAGGTTTTGACATGTTTTGACCCATCCGCAAGTCAGTTCTTAAGCAACAATTCCAACTTTCATGCGTAAAACGCAACATTTCATGGGTGCTACCCTCTGGTACTGGAAAATCGAAGATCGCGCCTTGGTCCTCCATCATCGCTCTGGAGATGGAGTTCTTCCTGGCGAGACGGATGGATTATAAATCCTGCACCAAAAGGATGGTTGCAAGATGTTGAAAGCCTATGAATAATGGATACCCTCTGGTTATGACTAACATAGCTATTGAAAATGACCATAGAAATAGTGAGTTTTCCCATTAATAGCATGGTGATTTTCCATAGTTATGTTAGTTTACCAGAGGGTAATAATGGGATGTTTACCAAACCACCTACTGGTGATTGGGATTTCGCAACCATCCACGTAGGGAATTGGGAAAGCGCTAGGAGGACAATGATGAGAAAGCGAGGACGCTGAGGGATGCTACTTATGGATCATCCCGGTTCACTGATTTGGTGACGGTGAAGATGTTTTTGCGGATCCCAACTGGTGAAGCTAACCCCAACTACCTGCAACCCACGAAGTGTAGTGATCCTCCGAAGTATGAGGATATTTCAGGGCGGCTGTCGCACCACAACATCAAGAGTATCCATATTATCCATGGCTATTTTTACTTTTGTTACGAGATGATTTTAAAATCAACCAACATGGACACCCTCCGACAATTCAACCTGGTAAATTTTCCAGCCACTTTGGATTACCTGGTGCTTCCCCTGCTGCCATGCTGCAAGGTGTGAGATCCGGGCATCAGCGCCATGGTCTGCGGGGCGAAGCGGGCTTCTTTGGAGCGGAATCTCATGGAATCCCACTGGAAAAAATATGTGGTTACCCTCTGGTAATTTAACAAAAAGCTATTGAAAATCACCATTTATAGTGAGTTTTCCCATTAAAAATGGTGATTTTCCATAGTTATGTTAGTTTACCAGAGGGTAATTCAAGCCATTTCTAGATGGGATAACATGGGATAACCTTAAGGCACTGAATGGGGACTTACGATCGAATCACCAGGGTTACCAGTTGCGACACGTAGGATGATCCTCCAAGTACTTCCCGCGAACTGAGATGAATTGAGGAGACTTAGATAGACTTAGCATCTTCACAGCTCCAAGTCCTCCAAGTCCTCTTGGATGTTTCTTTACCTGGCCTTCCAAGGGACCATTCACTATTTTGGTGGTGTTTTCCAAATCGCACGCCCTATTTTTGTTCTGAACACACGGCGGCCATGGCGGCCTCAGCCACGCGAGTGACCCAGGATGGCATACGTCCCACGCCAAGCCTCGGTGATCCAATGCTACCAGTGGTATAGATATAGAGATATAGATATCGTTAGGATAGGATAAGACAAGGTAAGATAAGGTTAGATTCATGAAATACATATATATATAAGATATATAAGATATATAAGATATAGAAGATATATATAGGACATGTAAATCTTATTAATGGTTTCCAGCATTTTTTCACCACTTTTTCAGCACCTCACAGCTTTCTGGTGCCCCCGACGCTTGGCAGAGTTCGTTGCAGAAATGGCCACAATTCCGATCCAACAAGTCGTACTCCACGCCTGATCCAATGGATCCCATGGATCTTGCTTGGGTAAATCAGGTTAAAATATGCCGAGGGATTTTTCCAATAATCATAATCATATAATAACAATAATAAATGGCATTGAACCAGGTTGAAAATGATTTTAGCATTGAAGGGTAAATTGTTAATGTTTACCATCCGCATTCAACCTGGTAATGAACAATGTAGCATTTTAGCCATTGTTTTCAATGCTTAATCCATTATTAAGGTCATGGAACCCCCATAATAACCAATCAACAAGGGTACAAGGTAATGGCACCAATGGCTCCCGGCCTGTCCAGCGACGTTTCAGGGCCAAAATCACACCTTCCACCTGCCGTGTTGCCACAGAAAAGCATCGTTTTAACGTAGGATGGGCCCCCCCAGTGATGTGAACGTTTGTTTATAAACCATGAAATAATCCCCATGAAAACTAGTTCGTTATATCTACCATATACCATTGAATTCAGCCACTTATAAACCAACTGAACGCTATCGACTGGGGGCCCCATCCTGTATACTGTTGAGAGGAATCTGTCAGAAAACATGTTGCAGATCTGGTTTTGCCATGTTTTGCCAGGCTGTGATTTGGGTCTTGCGAAAGCGCAGGTCTGCAGTCGAGTGAACCACACGGCAGGTCACACGGCAGGCGCCCAACCTCTTTTCTCTTCAATCCAGTACGACCCATCGTGACCTCAGCGACCCGGTCGCAAGGATTTTTCGGAAAATCAGCTGGTTGTAGTGGGCAAACATTCCATGACTGGGTGACTGGAAGCTTTTTTGATCACGGTGACTTTACCCCAGTCATATCAATATATATATATATATCAATGCCTTCTTGTCAAGTTAAGATTTCTGGATCATAAACACATGGAACTGACTTGGTGATGTTCCAAATGGTGGAGTTTTCAAGGTCATACTCCACGTCACCATCCGGCACACCCAAAGTGCTCTTGGTGACCCAACGGTTTGCCGGTAGGTGTAGTACCTCATTCATGAGACAACGAGGTGATACAGCAGCTGAATTCACTAGTGACTAGTCATGTTTCAGGAAAGCAACCTCTAGGGCTCACCTGAAGCTGTAGCATCTGATGTCATCCTCCTCCGTGGTTAATGGTCGCATCACAATTTCTGTTGATTGCACCCGCATGTGCACATATTAAACATAAACACATAGGCACGTGAATAATAATAATAATCATCATAATCATACTAATAATAACAATAATAATAAACATAATAATAAGAATATATAGAGGTAATGTGGTAAGTGGTAAACCCAATGCCATACAGAAACTACCATTTGGGGATGGTTGCAGGCATACAAACAATGATTTTGGGGATGGTGATTTGGGTTTAGTACATTTATATTCCCATTTTCAATGTATATAAATATATGTGTGTATATATATATATTTTGTTCTAAGTATCTATCTATCTATCTATCCATCCATCCATCTATCTAATACATATCATATTCCCATGTATTCCCGTTTTCTGCGGGTTTTTAGAATCAGTCCCCAAATGGGCCACCCCTGGGCGCCGCGGGCTGGTTCTGCTTGGGCGTCGTGATGGAAACACCCTGGTGCCGTGGCAAAGCTTCAACTGGCATCCAACATCTATATCCATCGATATATGGTTGAATAAAATCAATAAAAATCTACATATGTATCATAACATATTTATATATATAATATACAGTAGAACATATGTACATAGGAATATATGTATATATAATATATATGATATGTATGTATATATTTGTATGTACATATCTATATATATATAAAGATATAGATACAGACATAGACATAGATATAGAGATAGATAGACAGACAAACAGACAGACAGACAAACAGATAGATAGATCGTTTGGATTATAATCCAGCTGCAGTACTTCTACAAGAAATGGGCCTCCCTAATAGGCACACATGGATTATGACCCCAATTAACCTTAGTTAAGCCTGGATATGGTATGCAAGTGCACCCAGTTGTACTGGGAGATCTTGATGGGTCTCTGCGAAGAGGGCCTATCATTGGAAGGGACTCGGAAATGGAGGGTAGAGAAAAACAAACTAAGCCAACCAGTCGTGACGGATAAATTTTGATTTTCCCTCCGGTAATCTGGCAGAAATCCTCTATAAACGAATGGTTTAATGATGTTTAAAGGGAAAATCATCGATAAATCGGGCAATTTCCATTGCCATGTTTTGTTATGAGAGGATATACCCTCTGGTAATTTAACATAGCTATGGAAAATCACCATTTTCAATGGGAAAATCCACTATAAATGGCCATTTTCAATAGCTATGTTAGTTTACCAGAGGGTAAACTGATTGGAACCAATCGATCCAGTTGGGGACTCTGTCGGCATCTGTCGGCCACGCCCGGCACCTGCATACCAAAGCTCCATTCATTTCCAAGGACCTGCGAGGCCCCAAAACTGACTGGAAAATGCTGTGGGTCTGAAATCAGCCTGATATAGCCTGATGATACACTCCAAACATCCACTGTTGCACCTCCACACCGACATGTAGCGCTCCCCCAAGGCCAAGCAAATCCAACGAAACCTGGGATGTGAACAGATGAATCCAGTCGGGGGTCCTATATATTGGCGCAAAAAACCAAGACATTGATGGCATGATATGGATTGATATGGCATGATTCCATCTGGATCATAGATGATCATAGTGGTTTCCTGGAAAATTGCCACACATCTTGGGAATCATTCGAGATATTTCGAGATTTCCCACAGACATTCGAGATTTTATCAGGGGCGTAACCCCACCAGCTGCAACATGATGGGAATGCTCCCCTCAGTGGGTCATCCAACATCTGTGGCAAGTGGCAATAGACCGAATGTTTCTTGGAGTTCTCTTCAAACTAATGTGCCCAGGAACAGGTTTCCAAGAAAAGGTTGCAAAACAGGTTTCACAAAGTCTTTTTGGGTAAGCCAATGTTTTTGAGGTTTTCCAAACCACAAATGAAAGAAACAATGGTTTATTATTTGGTGTCTTGAAAGCAATTCTAGCGTCAGCATTTTACACGGTAAAAAGCAGTGGAACTGGAGATAAATGGGATAGCTTATCATGGGGCCCCAAAAATCATCCAAGTCATGAGACATAACTAATCATAACTATAGTATTGAAACCCACTTTTTAAACATCCCCATTTCAAGAAACCCTATGAGACGACGTGCCAAGTGGCCGAGTTCATGTGCGCGAAGGTGTCGTTCAGGTCATAGAGATGCAGGTACACGCTCTCGCCGTGCCCCGCACGCTCCTCCGCCATGAAACATGAAACGTACCGAGCGGGGTGTAGTTGAAATTATCTTTACCACAACCATGGAATTCTGTCCCACATGAATTGGGACATACGCCTCAAAACTGCGGTTCTCAGAGCTATATAAAGTATACAAAGTATATAAAGTGTATATATATATATATGTATATATATAGTTTACATCCATTTACAGTGGAACTGCACCCGCATGTGACCCTCGCGACATGGCGCGGTTTGACATCGTGACATGGGACACGAGCAAGATTCACTGAGATGTCCACCGGGAAACCATGGGAAACCACAAGACAAGGTTCCGCGCAAGCGGATCCAGCCCCATTTTTGTAGGTTTAACCATGGTTTAACGATGTAAAGATAGGTAAAACACGTATTTCTTGCAGGTGAAAGTTGCCCGATTTGCGAACACCTCCACCTGAGCCATTGAACATACTCCTGCTGATTGCTGTTGAATTGTGGGCTATTCTCCTAGCTGGTTTATTTGGGGATCATTGATAGATGGGATACATTGGATACATGAACCAAGCCATAACATAATCAATGGCCATTTCAGGAACCGATTTATTGGAGGTACCTACCATATATAAGGCCTATGTAAGGGCTATGTAAGGGAATATCCCCACAAAATATGGCCTTATATGGTACTAACGTACCTCCATTTTAGGATCCTGGAATTCCCATTGACATAAGGATCATAATGATGGTGTTTTAGTGAGTGTCCTGATCATCTTTTCACGGTGTTTCAATGGCCAAATGGCCAGGCCTCCCGATAATCGAAGATGCGCATGTGAAGTCCTTCCTGGCGATCATCCCATTTCCGGTTGGGTCCCGGTTGACCAACCAAGGGTTGACCCAAGCAGAAACCATCACCACGAAGCGATCTTCAAAAGCATGGGGTACTTCAAAAATTAGAAAACCAGAAGTACTATCTTTTTTTTCATGATAGAGAAGTAACTGGAGTTACATGGATACACACATATATAGGTTTCATGATGTAGGTATCATAGTAGTTTAGGTATTATGTAGGTATATGTAGGTATCATAGTAGGTTATCATAGGTTATCATACTACACTTTTGTTACCAGTATGTTAACCAACTAATATGGTTATAAACCAACTAAACTATAGTTATACCCTCTGGTTATTTAACGTAGCCATGGAAAATCACCATTTTGAATAGGTAAACCCAGGTAAACCATCTATAAATGGGTCATGTTCCATGGCTATGTTAAATAACCAGAGGGTAACTATAATAGTGTATAACATTCACATCACTGGGGGGGCCCATCCTGTAGGTTTCCACCCATTGGGATACTGCAGATACCTTAGCCATGGGCCTCCTCGGTGACTTCCGGTTGGATGGCGTCATAGCCTCAACCGCGCACGGAGAAAAACACGATCATATCAGCGGCACAAATATGATCTATTTTTCTATGTATATATATATATGTATATCTAATAGAATATATATATATACATATAATATATATATATATGTATATACATATATATGTATATATATATATATGTATAATATGTTCATATAATTGTATATGGAACGAATGGTAAGAGTGTACCCCAAAATGGAGGATACCCCCCAAAAGCACCATTTGTCCATGGAATTTGGGGGGAGTAGTCTATTTTCACATCGGAATGAGTCTCAAAAACTTGATAGCTGTGGGCAATAAATGTTGATGTTCACAAAATGATGGCTACATGCTCCAAATGCTGAATGATTTAGTGAATTTAGTGGCTACAACTCTACTAAACATATAAAAAACCATGCAATTCTCACCTGGCAGTGTCAAAACCTTGTACCCCTGTAGTTCACATGAAAATAGCTGGGATTTATGGATGTTCATTCCCCTAAAAATGGTATTAATAGGTATTGATCCATACCCACCTCAAAAAGGTGCTGCACTTTTTGGATGACACCTTTCGACCAAAAAATGCACCTGATTGGATCCAGGTGGCTCGATGCGGAGATGGGTGTCACCGGCACATAGCCATGCAACCTGAGAAAGCGTTAAGCCCAGGTTCATTGCCATGGCTAAAGGTAGGAAAACCATAGGAAAACCATAGGAAGTGGGTTGTAGCCCCAGTTATAAATGGGATAAGTAGGGTTAATCCACTTATAACTGGGGTTATAACCTACTTACTAAGTGGGATGAGCCACCAAGTACCCTCTGGTTATGACATTGCCAGTTTGCCATGGAAAGATCCACCATGCTATGAAGTTCGGTAAACCATGGTTTAAAACCATGGTAAACCATCTATTTCGATTAGGGCCATCTATCTATACCATGGCTATGTGAAATAACAAGAGGGTAACTCCCTTCGCCATTCCATTTCTACGTTTCTTTGAGCTTTTCACATGTTTCACAAGACTCCAAACACTTGATCAGTGGTTCTAGCCAAACAGAATTCATATCACCATTATACATCATTATACCATTACTATATCACCAGATTATCCACTGCAGAAAGCATCCGCTGCAGCATCCGCTGCTGGGAGTCCGGGCGTCTTTGGTCCGGGCGTTGAGGCCTGGCATATACCGAACTTTGATCATATAATGATAGTTGTGATAATCATATATATAATCGTCAGAATAGCTTCAATGATGATTATGATTATGATTATGATGATGATGATGATGATGATGATGATTACTATTGTTATTATTATGATGATACTAAGGACAATAATCAATAATCACCATCAACTCTGCCACCCCGCTGCCGCTCCTCCGAGCCCGTGATCTCAAAGGAGTCGGCTTTGTGAAAGCAGTTCAGCTTCCCACTGCGAAGGCTGGAGGATCTGCGTTCCAATCACCATGACGTACTGTTGATTTTTGGGATCTCAGTTCTATGGCATACTGATATTATGGCTTGATATGGCTTACAATCCAGATCCTAAGTGGGACATCCAAGTGTGATGCTCAAAAAAACATGGTGAAATTATGGTTGGCCTGCAGAGGTCCGATTTGATTTTCCAATACATACAGTGGATGGTTACGAAATCTTGCACCACCTGGGATGGTTAAAACCCTATAAATAATGGGATAAACCATCTATCAATTGGTGGATTTCTTCCATCCACAGTATGATTCGAATAGATTGAGTTTCGAGAGCTGTCTGGGGAGGTCCAGGACTGCAATGGATCCAGTGACTGATTGGATGTACTTAAGATTGGAGGCTTTGCTTAGGACATCTTAGGACATTAATGTCACTCACAATCCAATCATACGCATTATTTTGATCCTCCAAAAAATGGCATCAACATGATTGAAGACTATCTACAAAACGAAGCCCTGTATGGGTCCAAAATGTGTAGATCCGCACCGCCTTCAGTTCCGCGCGCCTCATCAAACAATTCATCCCCACCTCCTGTGGCGCTGAGATGTTGAGTAAGTAATGTCAATTTCACCCCGCTGTTTCATTGATTTTATGGGGGTAACACTTTAGTAATGATAGAAATTAGGAGACGTCTTGAATGGAATCCCTCTACACAAGATATCAACCAGGGTAAACAAAAATCAGAGATAACTGGGGTGACATTGTTCTTGACCTCAGTGAAACAGCCTAAAATGATCACATCCGGGTTGACGCAGCAATGAATTTCTAGCGGATGGTTGTACTCAGGGTAAAATGGGGAGATTGCTTTTCGTTGGATTAAACTGGTTTACCGCACTACTAGCTTTGAGAATGCTTGACATGTCCTTTCAACAGAGAGATGCCCTGTCTGGAGCGATGGCTCAATCGGTCCATCGGTCCTCTTCCATTTCCGGAATCGTTTCATCTGGCGAGGACCCCGCAACCTGACATGTCAGAAATGTCAGGAGATAAACTGGTCCCACGGGATGTCATTTGAAGATATAAGATATATAATAGATATATAAGATATTGACACTCAACCCCTCCATGGATTGGTCTTGGATTGGTTGAAGGGAATCCTCCCGTCTTTCATGGGAATTTTGAAGGGTTTCCTAGAGATTTTCCATTCGGTTTTGTCGGAAAATCCCCTCAGGCATCCGGGCAGGCGGCGGCGGTGGCCGACAAATGTTCCCCATCTCTGCCCTGGCACAGCACAGGGGGAGATGGGTATAGCCGGTATAGCCCCATAAAATGACAATGATATCATGTGGGGAACATTGTGATATTCTGTTTGGCAAAATGTGGAGAGAATCTGGAACATTGGGAAATGTCATGAACTGTTCAAACATGACCAACCATCAAATTTGGGAAAAAAATCCCAGCATTTTTAGACTAAGATTCCCATGCTTCACCAAACAACCTGAAAGCGGTGGGACGCTTTGGAGATATTACCGATACCCCAGAAATTTGGAAGCTGGACCAAGCCAAAACAATACACCTACAGCAAACAGAACCTGCTGAATTTTCAGGTATTATTCCAACAATGGCAAGTTCAATATTGGGGGCCAAATTGCAATCATGCACAAGTCAAAATCGAAAAAAAACTGGTGACGTCAGTTTGTTGCAGCTCGCCTCGGGGCTGGGATGTTTGGATTTCGATCAAAGCTTTGCCGGGATGGCGATGGCAGCGGCGATGGCGGCGAGTCTCTGTGAAAGTGTCCGGTATTTAGACCAAAGCAATGGGGGCAACACTTATCTTTTCCTGGTTTTCTATAATTTTCCATAGATTTCTGTTGATAATAAACTATAGCTACTATAGTTGACTTTCCATCTAGGCATCTAGATTAGATTGCGAAAGGACACAGATTGATCCTTCTGCCACATGTCAGACAATGCCGAGGACAAATTCGCCGATTCTCATGGCTTTCGTCAGATTCCCGTGTTCATCTGATCCTTTAGGGTTCCAAAGAGGCATTCTTCTGGGCTCTCCGCAGGAATCTAAGTTATTGGTGGTCTTCAATGGGGCAATGGTGGCTTGGGGTGCTCCATTTTAGGATTCCAACTTTTTTTTTGGTTGGTAATGATTGTGTCGCAGATATGGATGATGGTTGGATTTCTTGCGCATTTTTTACTGCTAGTTTCAGCCATATCCACGAATTAGGACTTGGGTAAATCTTAGTAACTCCTGGCCGACCAAAGTTTAAACGTCATTTTACTTAACCAAAGTCAATCAAAGTTCCATGTTACTATCCCTTGTGGAACCACCGAAGTTTGAGAAGACAGAAGGCTGAACGAGCAGTTCGATTTTCTTCCGGAGCGCCGTTTCACACAACGAGACGCTGCTAATGGCCTGTCCATGGATCATCCCAGGACGAGAAACATGGCTGTGCTGAAAAAAACTGGCTTAGTTCACCCATTTATAAATGGGATATAAATGGGATATAAATGGGATATTAATGGGATATTAATGGGATATTAATGGGATATTAATGGGATATTAATGGGATATAAATGGGATATTAATGGGATATTAATGGGATATTAATGGGATATAAATGGGATATAAATGGGATATTAATGGGATATTAATGGGATATAAATGGGATATTAATGGGATATTAATGGGATATTAATGGGATATTAATGGGATATTAATGCGATATAAATGGGATATAAATGGGATATAAATGGGATATAAATGGGATATAAATGGGATATTAATGGGATATAAATGGGATATAAATGGGATATAAATGGGATATAAATGGGATATAAATGGGATACAAATGGGATACAAATGGGATATTAATGGGATATTAATGGGATATAAATGGGATATTAATGGGATATTAATGGGATATTAATGGGATATAAATGGGATATTAATGAGATATTAATGAGATATTAATGGGATATTAATGGGATATCAATGGGATATCAATGGGATATCAATGGGATATAAATGGGATATAATGGGATATAAATGGGATATAAATGGGATATAAATGGGATATAAATGGGATATAAATGGGATACAAATGGGATACAAATGGGATATTAATGGGATATTAATGGGATATAAATGGGATATTAATGGGATATTAATGGGATATTAATGGGATATAAATGGGATATTAATGAGATATTAATGAGATATTAATGGGATATTAATGGGATATCAATGGGATATCAATGGGATATCAATGGGATATAAATGGGATATAAATGGGATATAAATGGGATATAAATGGGATATAAATGGGATATAAATGGGATATAAATGGGATATAAATGGGATATAAATGGGATATTAATGGGATATTAATGGGATATAAATGGGATATAAATGGGATATAAATGGGATATAAATGGGATATAAATGGGATATAAATGGGATATAAATGGGATATAAATGGGATATAAATGGGATATAAATGGGATATAAATGGGATATAAATGAGATATAAATGGGATATAAATGGGATATAAATGGGATATAAATGGGATATAAATGGGATATAAATGGGATATAAATGGGATATAAATGGGATATAAATGGGATATAAATGGGATATTAATGGGATATTAATGGGATATTAATGGGATATTAATGGGATATAAATGGGATATAAATGGGATATAATGGGATATAAATGGATATTAATGGATATAAATGGGATATAAATGGGATATAAATGGGATAAAATATGGGATATTATGGGATATAAATGGGATATAAATGGGATATAAATGGGATATAAATGGGATATAAATGGGATATAAATGGGATATTAATGGGATATTAATGGGATATTAATGGGATATTAATGGGATATAAATGGGATATAAATGGGATATAAATGGGATATAAATGGGATATTAATGGGATATTAATGGGATATTAATGGGATATTAATGGGATATTAATGGGATATTAATGGGATATAAATGGGATATTAATGGGATATTAATGGGATATAAATGGGATAGTAATGGGATATTAATGGGATATTAATGGGATATTAATGGGATATTAATGGGATATTACTGTAATGGGATATTAATGGGATATTAATGGGATATTAATGGGATATAAATGGGATATAAATGGGATATAAATGGGATAATCCACTTAGTAAACACATGATTGGTGTTGCTGGTTTGAGGCTTCCCAAGTTCAAGACATCCCAAATTCGACACGGTTTCAACAAGATTTCGTTGGTAGAATGTTCCAAATCAACGTCCCAAAAGCTGATCTGAGATCAAACCCCAACAGAAACTGAGAATTGGAAGATCCGACGACTAGCTTTTGAAAAAAGGTACGTGACTCATCCAGATTCTCCATTCACAAATGGACCGCTATCATTCGGTGGGTCCCAACTGGGGCCCCAACTGCTTCGGTGGGTCCTCTGATTTTGATGGAACAACTGGCCTTTGTAATGTTGGGAAAATAAGGTCATAAACAGTTCGGTTTTGGGTGGTTTTGCCAACTTTTTCAAGCAAACCCAAATAGCATGATATCATATATATATATGCATACATATACATACACATATATAGATATAATATATATATGTATGTATATATATATATCCAATGTCACTATTGTATCATTATTGTTGGGTTTTGTACCCCATTAGCCATGCTTTCCGAGCAAACTAAGTGGAGTTGTCTGAAAATAGGCCGCCCAAAAATCTTATGGTCCTCATGTTCCCTCTTAAAATTGCAATTTGGTGACGTACGTACCCCATCCCAGTTATACATAACCCTTGTGAATATGTATTCCCACAATGGATTATGATCCCCACTATATTGGATCATGATTAACACCCAACATCACCCAACTAATCATCAACCAACAGAGGTAGATCGCAGCCACTGCTCAGTGGCTGATTTTCCCCTCCCATTCCGGGCCACCTGCAACTCCACACTCAACTTTCGCGGCCCAAGACCTCGACTGGTATTGGCATATTGTGATACTATAGTGATACTATAATGATATGATGTGATAAGTATATTGGAGATATAAACTCCTATACTGGTAGTGCGACAACTGGATAATAAACATTGTGATAACATATTGGATATATGGGGTAGTATAAGCTCCTATAATTAACCAATCACCATGTATCAAGTATATCAGCACATCCCCATCTATTTGATGGTTTAAATATGTTTAAATTCAGATTTAGTGGCAAATTACACAGTAAATCAGCAATCAACTGGATCCTTTCTTTGGAAACTGCCGAAAGAGCACTGTTCCGAGGACATGGCAAAGGTCCTGAAAGCCAAAGTTTTTGAGGAGATCGTCCTGGCTGGATAAATATGGATAAATGCTTGGCCCCATCAGAAGTGGTGTCATTGTGTCATCCACTTTAAATCCCCATCAATTCCCCACGAACTGGGCAGCACTTTGACCAAGGGAGCAGCGAAAGGGAGAGAAAATCCTTGGCGTTTCTTCCCCACAATCGACCAAATGATTTTTGAAAAATCAGAATCGTTCCCAAACAAATCCACACATCTTTGAAATTCTTTGAAATATTGTAAGTTCCAATGGCTTTCCCATTACAACCATTGACTTTTCCCAAGTTCTCTGTCAGTGGCGCCTGAACCCGACAGTGGCGCCTCGCGTGGTTGCCAGCCCTGTTCGGGCCCAATGGCCACCAACACCCGGCCATCTGCTTCCGACATGGCACCACCTGGCCCCCGTTGAGATGCATCCACTCAAAATGGCCTATTTTCAGGGTCTTTTTTTTAAATAGCGGGGCCATACGTATATCTAATCAAACAACAACTGACGTATTTATAATCTAATCGTTATTGAGGGTGATAAATGCAACACTGGGGATACTTCAGTGGTACTGCACTTGAAACAACCATGTTCCAGGGATATTCTTCATGATTTTAATGATATTTAATGGTTAGAATGATTAGAAAAACAATAACAACAATACCAGGGATATCTGACCAACACTCTAATTGATGGTTGGTTGGTGAAAACTAGGAATGTACAGAGTGTTGAATGTGGATTTTGAACCAATGAAATATGGGAATCCCGAAAAAAGAAAACAACCAGTAGTTTCCGGGATGGCAGAGGCTTATAATCCCAATGGTTCCAGTGAGCCATTCCAAATATTCCAATTGGGACCCAATGAACTGTACTTTGACCTGCCCAATGGTTGCTGGAAGATCACCAGTATGATATAAACTATTAAGAGAACGCTATAGATTTGGTGGGTTCTGGCTAGGTGATCATCACCGCCTGGATGTATCCGCCATAAAACCAAGAGGTTGCCCAGCTATGAACGAACTTACCTATCGATTGGGACCCCCTTCCCCTATCGATCACAGGAAAACTTGGAGCATTGCAATAACCACAAAAATAACAATCAATCAATCAACCAACCAACCAATCAATCAATCAATCAATCAATCAAATCCCAGTGTTATCCACAAATCTCACATTGCTATATCTGTATATCCCACCATATCCACCCGTTTTCCCAACCTTACAATGCTTTACATCCCCTGTATTTCTGGTAGATTCCTCAGTTTGCCACGTTACTCGCCTGCGCAACGTGCGCGCAGCTTTTGAGCCCAGGCATCTTTGGCCAAGAACGGCTCAAGCTCCACTAATTGCAGTTCCGGCACCTGCGAGGTTGGAAAAGAACTTGGCCAGTTTGCGACCGGAGTTTGGGGACACACACCGGATATAAATTCACCTTGGGTAAGTTGATTTAATGGCAAGAATTAGGACACATTCTGAACCATGAGTTCTTGGGATTGAAAAATCAAGGGTTGAAACCATGAATTGTTCCGTCAACTCAGGGGTGAAACCTCTACCAATTTTGGAAATCCAGAAAGAATCCTAGATGTCATATTGATAGAACAACTGGATGTTCAAGACATTGTTGCAGGTTGTAGGCTTCTTTGGTTTGTGTGGAACACACGGATTGAACAAAATGGAGACTTCTTTCAGATCGGTTCAATGGGCACCAGTCATTGGCCTGGAAGGTGGGGACATCAATTGATTCTCCGCCAAAGCCCATCGAATCTACATTGTCTACATGTTCCGCAATAAAAACACCATTTAGGGTATACTCATTGTTGGCTACAGTATATATTAGCAAATGTCCCCCACAGTGAATACAGTAGCCCCACATAAACTTTAACAAAACCATAATCCTCCTGTTCCCTTCCCATACATCTTTGTTAGTGAACTTATTTCAAGGTGGGCACCCCAAACGATAGCTATTCTTGGTGTATCTGCCTAGGTGAATTCTATGGTTGAAAGTATAACGAAGATTAACGAAGTAGTATTCAATAAACCATAGTAATATTCAAGAACCAAAGTATTCTTTATGGATTATTCATGGGGGTTATAAACCAACAAACATCAAATTTTGGGGCCCCGTCTTGGTCCCCAGATGTTTGCCCAAAAGCCATGGAGCCTGAGTGAATCCACTTTGCTCCAAACCCGACAGCAGCAGTTCCCGCAACTTCTCTGGCTGACGGAGGAGGTGGCAATGAAAAACCTGTCGATCTCCGCCTGGTGATTTAAGTTCGGGATCCTCCCAAAAATTGGCATAGTGGCATAGTCTAAAAATCATAGACCTTCCTCCTCCCAACGAGTACAGTAACTAGAACATGTCGGAAGTTTAGAGCGATTCGACCCAGGACCCAGGTGCTGGTAATGCCACGCCTGGTACTCGGCACAAGGCCAGGGTCCCCAAGCCCAACTGAACCAGCTGAGGCAACAGCCTCGACAGTTGCGGCTGTGGTGACTTTCTGTACTTATACAGTACTATTCAAAGTCCCATTTTTACTAGGTTCAAAATAGTTTTCGACCTAAAACCAAACTGAAACATACTGAAACACCATTGGAGGTTGGAACACACAGGAAAAAAATCATCAGGCTGGCCTCTTCAAGCGTTCCAAGGGCGGTGGAACCAGCAGCAAATCAACCTCCCGCACAGTGTCAGACCACTGGGTTTCTCCAAGAATTTCCACAGCAGGTCCGCCTCACCTGCGCCGGTGGAAACCGTGGTAGCGCCTCCAGTTCCGCCGACAGTTGAAGTTCCAAAGCATCCGGCAACACCTCCTTTGGCAGCGAAGGATGTGGGATGAGGTCCCCAATCCTGTTGTACTGCTTGGATAATAGGTATCCCACAACCAACAACGATATCTTTAATGACAACATGTCCAAGCTTGTTTTCCATGAACAATCCATAAATCCAAAACAATCAAAGCATAGTTTTAAAGTTATGTTTTGGGGTCATTTTTTGATCCTGGGACAATGGGTTGACTCAATGAGAGGGCTTCAAACCTCCGTGCAGATCATCTAAGGACCTTCACTGCATGTTTTGTGTCGCCCAAACTGCGCGCCACTGGAACTGTCTTTGGCTCTTGGCTGGGACTCTCTTTGGCTTCCCGGCCATTCCGCAGGATGGGGTTGTCTGGGAAATCAACGGGACATTTCCTTATGACATATATGACTAAGACTGGATTCTTTAGATTTCAATCTAAACGTCACCCTGCAAAAGGGCATTGGCCACTCTTCCCACCAACTGGTCTTCAACAAAAACGGAGAAACATGAAAACCTTTGGAAGATCTCAGCCCAGGATTAATACTCTCCTGGGGTGTTTAATTGAGGGGTCCCAGTTTAACAGCAATTCCAATTCATGTATGGTGCACTTGCATCCTCAAATCCAGATTTTGGGGTTAATCAAACAGTGGAAAACACCAGCTATGCCGCTATGCAAAATTTTCCAGCTGTAGATGATTTTCTGATTTGCCTATGAAACATGGTAATTGTCCATAGCTAGCCCCCAAAAAAATACCAGAGAGTATTTCGAACATGAGGATCCCAGTTTTTTTGGATCCCCATCTTGGGAAAACCCTATGATTTTTGCCATGCCTTCTCCCCATCCCAGCTGAAACTTCAGGGTCGATGGAGCTTCTCAGCTCTCATCTTGCGAGAAACCCAGGCATAGGCGCCCACGTTGTTAGGACCTGGTCATCCAGTCATCCGACCCGAAAAATAGGAAGTGTGAACAACTGGGCTCCCTGAGGTACAACAGCTAGTATTGAATGAAGAGCTTAACCCATTGGAACTGCGATATCTTGGGTCATTTACCAGTGGGAGGATCATTCCATTTAGTAAATGGAATGGGATAACCCTAGTTGAGGGACTAACCATGGCTATTCACCACTTATCTGTGGGATGATCCTCCCTAATTACCATTTCTTCACTTCCTAACCATGGATAATCCTCCAAGTAACCATGGCTGGGGGTTTCACCATGGGTTTCAATACTACCATGACTTGGAACCTCCATTTCCTCACCTTCCCGTCCAACGCGTTTCTTCGCCTCGTGTGATGGCATCGTAGCGCTTGGCCGCGAACCGCTTGCCGCGTGGCATGGCCGCAGCCGTCGCAGCATGCGCAGTGGCAACGGAACCGACGACGAAGCGACCCTCGGAAACCTGGTCCTGAGCCAAGGAGATGCCCAAGGCTACCCCCTTCCGTGATCATCAAATTTGGCTGGGAAATTCCCGCACCAAAAGTGGGTTTTGATGGGAAAATATGGGACAATCATCTATAAATGCTGGATTTTTCATATGTTTGATTGCCAGAAGGTATGAAGGGTGAGATTTTCTAAAGAGATTGAACCAATCATCCACCAGGGTTGCTCCCAACACGCCTTTTTTGGGCTAAAGAGGAAACATCATGTCCCCAAAAGGTGGTGTCATCATTAGGGGAAATCTGGAGATATAACTCACAGATATGATCGGATGATGGGATGATCGGAGTTGCATCAATCACCGAAACAGCCATACCACGTTCAGTAGAATGGAGTCGTTGGTAGATTTCCCATTTATGATATCTGTTTGATGAACAGACGGATGTACAGGTTTAAAATGGTTTAAATCTCGGCAACGAAATCCATCTGTTTGGAAATCATGCCTTTTTCGTCAACGACGACGAACCCATACAATCTGTGATTCTCCGACCCCAGTCCGTTACGCATGACATAAGCACGGCAATCAACTCTCAAACTGTGAATTGCCAGTGCCTAATATGACCAATTGACATACTTGATCTGGGTATATCTGGTTAAATCATAATTCACCAACCTGGGACCAGGTTGAAGTCCATTTCGGGATAGTTCCCTCTGCACTCACCATTTACAATGACGTCACGGTCAGGTGGTTGTAATTTTCCAAGATTCATTGTTCCCCAAACACCAGATATCACCAGATGGAAGTGGTTCCGAGGTGAAATCTCTCATCCTGGTTGTCTCTGGTGAAGCACCAAATGCAGACCAGTGTCCAGCAGGACTCGCTGACGGAAGCTCAAGAAGGACGTCATTGGCGTCGCTTCTGGACGAAACCAATTCAACTCCACCCCAAACAAGACAGGACTGCAGGAACGCTGCAACTGCAACAAGAAAACTGAAATTGTAGTTAACTATCGCATATCATGTGAGTCTAACATCAAAAAACAGAAGTATTTCAATTGCAAAACACCACAAAAAATGTCAATTCCAACAGATTTGCATGACCGATTCCACCACCCAAAAAGTTTTCCAGCTCCTCCTGTGACTGCTGTGACCACCGTGCCGTCCATCAACTTCACGCGGGGTTTTTGGCCATCGCCAGCTTCGAAACCCACGATTTCACCCTCCAACTGACGACCTTAGAGACTGGGAAGTGGCCAACAAACCATCTGTCATGAGTGATGCAATGTGATGCACTTGATTTCTGAAAATAACACTGAGGTTTCAAGATTCATAGATCGAACAACTAGGATTCAAAAAATAGGGTGACTGGATTTGTACCTTGTCATTGCACAAAGATGCACAAAGTGTGAAGTTGGTGCCAATGTTTTTTTAGACCGCTTGAGCTGCATTGTGCCCCGCAATTTTTGAAACCGCAGTCTAAATCTACTGTTCATACCTTGTATTGCACAACATAAGAGGGATAGGCTTGCTCCCTGTCAAAAATCACATACTCTTGGTGAACCTGCTCCTGGTTGTGATGGCCATCTATCATGCCAGGCTTCACTACAATCGAATCGTGGGTTCGTGATGAATGACGTCTGACAGGCGGCCTCCTTTCGCCCTTTCTCGTTTCCTTTGCAATGTAAGAATCACCAAGTGCAACACGGGCTAGGATCAAAGTCCTCTCGCATTTGTGATTTGACTTGTGGTGAGCTTGAAGTCCCGTGAAGTGCTCGCACGTGTGGTGAGATTTGCATGCTGCACATGCAAAATAAACTCCAGCACCATAGAAACCTTGGAAGTTCGATGATCAAACTCTTCTCGGACTATGGCATCGGCATTGTCCCAAGAGGTCCCAACAGCATCTTCTCATCAACATCAAGAGCCAATGCCTCGCCGCAGTCGAAGATCTGTTGAGATCGAGCCATGATGTTGCCATAATCATGCCATAACCATCTAGATCCAAAGCTGAACCAACAGAAATGTTGGAGGCATGGTCCTGTCGCATGGTATCCAACCGCATTTTGTATCGGTGCCAAAGACGCATGTTCTCAATGCGATGCACCGATTTGACATGATTTGACTCTTGCCCTGCTCATGCAGGAGCACCCGATGCTGCACCCTGTGCATGACCAGAGCGATGCATAATCTTCTGCACACGCTGCCAAATCAGAGGGTCGTTGATCTCTACGTAGAACGATCCCAAATCATCGCCTTGTTGCAGCAAATCTGCTGCAGGGGTGGCCCATTGCAAGGGAACCCCAGCTGAGACACGGATTTTGCGGATCTTTCGAGTTCCCAGGCGCTTCTGCTGCATCAATTTGAAATCCACGGTCAGCTCCACCTGAGCTGATCGTCACAGATACGCTTCCCACCTACCATCTACTTCATACTGCCAACTGGCACCATGGCTGAGAGCCGACGCACTCTTCTTCATCTGCAATTGTGCATTCAACTCATCATTTTTCTTCGACTCTTTGCTCAACTGGGCTTGTAACCCTCTCCCATCGTGAACCTTCCTGTGCATGGCCTTCAAGTTCGCTTGCAATGCTTCGCATTCTTCCTCGGCCTCTTTGCGCATCCCTCGCTCATCATCCAAGCATTTTTGCAAGTGGGCAAACTCCCTGTACATGGCCTTCAAATGCGTTTGCAATGCTTCGCATTCTTCCTCGGCCTCTCTGCGCATCTCCTGCTCGCAATCCAAGAGGGTTTGCAGTTCTGCGACTTTTCCCTTGTGCGACGGCATGGGAACATCAAACGAATGTCTGGCTGCAAGCCAAGTCTTGTGCTGTAGGTTAGAAGTTGATTCTTTCAGAACCGGTATCGGAAATATGCTGTGCTGTCAGCTTGCCTCATATGATGATATGTGAAGGCACCTTTAACAACTTCACATTCAGATCGCCAACAGAAACTTTTGAAACACAGGTTTCTCTGGCAAGCCACAGCGTATTTATGCGACTTGCTCACGAAGAGCCTTCGAAGAGCCCAATTTTACATTGGGAAAACTGCACATGTTGCATGGGCATGGCCTGAATTTAAATATGTTCAAATGCCAGTTCCAGCAGCCTGACTAGCCAGCCACCTTTGGTGAATCATTCCATGACACTAAAGACACTGGCCAAGGCTGAGAATGCAGAAACATCAAATACTCCAACTTGGACCGATTTGCCGCAGACCTCATCTCAATCGATTTCCCAAAATGGCTTAACCGCAGCCACTGCATCCTGGGCCCCCGGACCACTTCCAACTGCTCGTATCAACTGCGGCCGCCGTGCCCGGATCCAAGGCACCCGCCAGAGCAGGGCGGCCATGGGCTGCGACAGCTCGGTGAATTCGTTCGGGTTGCTGGGGAGATATACCGATATGACCAACTAGTAGCAATATTCATGGGGGCTATAAACCCACAAACAACCTCGGAAAGGCCAATTCTTTGAATGATTGGATGGAATGAGGTTTCAAACATGTTGAAACAACACCAGATTTTTTTGACCAGATCAGATGTTTTTCCAGAACATTTTTCCCTATGCCTTGGAGTCTTGGAGGCCTATCCTTAAAAAGGTGGATGACTAATGATGAACGAGTGAATATTTGCTGGGTACCTCTGGCAAATCATCTGCAGTACACCATGTTTCACCAAGTTTGTCGTCCTTGTAACTTGTACTGCGAAACAGCCATCATCAGCACGATTTTGCTCCAAATGCTGCGCAATTCCGAGGGTCTCCATATCATGGTTCATGAAGAATCTTCCAAGGTATCTGGTGGTTTCTGAAAATTGAGGGATCCCCAAAATCATCAAAATGGATCACTTTTTTACAGGGAAATTGATTGTTTGGGGTTTTGAGGTAGCAAAATTTCGGGAAACACCTGGGTGCAGCGGTGGGAGATGAATCAAACAGCGTCACGTCCTGCTCCAAGACATTCACAATCTCCTGGCAAGGTCGGCAAACATGTGATGGAGATGTACCAAAACACATATTCAAGTTGCAGTATCTTGAAGGAAATCTGCTCTTCAAAGTGAACCCCGCCCCACCGGATTTTGGGCATCACTGCATCACCTTTAAAGTTTCTACCAAGGTTTCCAGCATAATTATTTCCTCTGCAACATCAACCCAAGTTGACGTGGTTAACCCCTATTCAACCACCATTTCAAATAATGTTTAACAACCTTTTCAACCGATGCCCACCTGCTCACCTACCACTTCCCCAAATCAGGAAATCTGGAGATCACACCCCCAGTTTTGCCAATCACACCTCCATTCCAACTGTCGCTTGCATCCCCATGATGGTTCCCTAAAAACACCAATTTTTGTTGGTCCAATCTCCAAAATTCTTGGGAATGTCATGTGGGTATGGGTCAATACCTATAGATACATTTTTAGGGGGTTATTCACATCCATCAATCCCAGCTATTTTGATGTGAACTACAGGGGTTTCCATGGGTTTTGACACACTGCCATGTGATTTCCTATGTTTGCTGCTGAAAAACACTTGTTGCTTCGTTTCAATGGATTGGATTAGGGGAAAATTTACAAAAAAAGCCCCATATTTAATGGGACAAACCATGGTTTCCTGTAGATTTTCCCTTAAACCAATCCAATGATTGGTTGAATCGACATGGGCGCCTCCATTGGCAGCCTCTCAGGTCGCATCTGCCGCGGTGTTTCGACCAACCACTGGCCGCCAGAGGCCTGGTGCGGGGGGCTACAGGATGATTCGGGCTACGTTTATGTTGTGTGTATATAAATAAATAAGTAAATATATATATATATAGATATATATATAGATATATATATATGTATGTATATATATGTGTGTATATATATATGTATATATATGTATATATATATATACACACTTAGAAAGTGCCTTTCAAAATGGCGCAAGATTGAGACGGGGAAATCATGACCTAGAGGGGTCGAAATTCTTGGGATTTGATCGAGAGGGGTAAAACCTGTGGAAATAGTTCTCTTGTTCGAATGGATTCAATAATGCCTTAAAATTGCTGTTTTCTAGCTCGGATTGTTGGTAACATGGCTGTAGTAAGACTAATTTTGGAATATAATGAGAACAAACATAATGGGACGAAGAATGATATAGAGGGTATCATTCTTGTATATAACATCTGATTGCTGCAATCATGTTGGGGGTTGAGGGTTAGTTAGAATGGTACTATCATATATATATATATATCATTCACCATGATGGTTTACCTGAAAAATATGTTGTTTTTATCTTCTCATAAGCTTATTGCCTACCACAAAAGCTTACGAAATTGAATTGGTTTTTCCCACGGGGTGTATGTGCCTGATCTTTGGATAAGGGATCTGATGATCTTATTGCATACTGGCTTGAAATACTCTTGCATAATGCCTGCCCAAGTCAGGCGGTACGCTTTGCACCGTTACCAAACCCACCTGATGTAGCTCATCTGAACCAAATGGCCCTCGAAATTGCTGACTGTTTCCAACCCCCAAAATCATTCAATCAATTCAACCCATAAATAAATGCTGTTCAACCCCCAACCAGCAAAAAATGATCTTTAACACCCCCCAAAGAATGTACTTCAACATATATTAACTCATCTCAAGTGCATCTTAAGGCCCAATCAAGAACCTTTTCAATCTTTGCACCAATTATCTCCTATCCAAGCTAGCCAAAAACAACATCTTCTCACCTAAACTCAAGTTTTCCATAGCTTTCCATAGGTTTCCATAGGTTTCCATAGGTTTCCATAGGTTTTTCCATGGTTTTTCCATGGTTTTTCCATGGTGTTTCCATGGTGTTTCCATGGTTTTCCCATGGTTTTGCCATGGTTTCCCCTGAAGTTTTCCCAACTTTTCCATGCCCCCGGGCTCGGCGTCCGCACGGGCCAGCGCCAGAGGACGCGGCAGCGGTCGTCGTAGCCGCCGTCCAGGACGCCCACCTTGAGCTCTTCGCCGTCGCGCAGCTGGAGCACCTGAAGCGACCGATGCCAAGCAGTCCAAGTGGACGATTGGATGGTATATATGATGGTATATATGATGGTATATTGGTATATTGATGATTTATGAAATTATAAAATGTATAATGATTCATGGTAATTCATGGTATAATGGTATTTATGAAACATTATGATGGTATATATGATGGTATAACATTATAGCAATATTGGTAATATATGATGGTATAATGATGGTATATTCTATATATATATTGCTATAATGTTATATAGAATATTAGAAAAACTATATGTAATGATATTGGCATATATATATATAGAGTTTATATTTATATAGTATATGATGTGTATATATAATATGTTTATATATTATGTATATATATTATATATATATGATGTTATGTGTGTAATATCTGGAGTAGTATATAACTGGTGATATCCCTCATACTCGAGATATTGCACATATACTCTACATTCTACATATATGTAATGTGCAAATATCATATTAATAATATATTAATCTATATATAGTACTGCGTATCCCTTAAAATCCATGTATGATATGTAGAATTACATGACTATATAAAAATATGTATGCAACATTTTTCGATATTATTTGTGTTATCATCTGCAGCTGTTGGGGTCCTGAATAAACTAAGTTGATGAACATTGACCTGCATTCTAGGTGTCTTTAGGTAAATGGCATCCAATGTTGGGGTGATTTTGCTGCAACTTGTGACGAAAATTCGGCTGCTGGCAAGTTTGTGGGGCAGTTAGGCCAGATTTGTCTTTCAATTTCGAGCATAATGCAGATGTTGAAAAAGTCTAATACGGATGTTGAAAAGTCGGCCATGGCCTATGGGTCTTTGCGTATTCAATGTTGTACCCTTTTGGGGTATTGTCCAACATCACAAAATTCTTAGCGAAGTCTGATCCATAATCATCTCGTTTGGCTCAATATGGGTCTGGATCAAGATTCAAGGCCCATAACACCGCGGATGTGGGTCACTTTCAATAGCTAGATATTACCCTCTGGCTATTTAACGTTACTATGGAAAATCATCTGGGAAATCACCATTTTGACACGTAATTCATCATGTTTATCATCTATAAATGGGTTCTTTTCCATAGCTATGTTGAATAAGGCAGAGGGTATGTGTCCTGTTTTAGGGGTACCCAATTCTGACCCAAGCTGGCAGACCTTGGCCACATGCCGCGCACGGCGGTCGGACATCGGCAGCACCGCGCGTCCATGGCGAAGTTCATGCGCTTCCAACAGCAAGCGATTCAGGGCGCAGCCCGGCCTGGTGGTAAGGAAATCATGGCGATTTTTGGTGAGTATAATAAATATAATATAAATATATTATATAGTGAATATACATATACTAAATCTATCCTATTAAATACACTTAAAAATATAGTATATTAGGCAATAAATATACTATAAAATACAAGTGTATGAATCCCATCCCCCTATCAAACGCCCAGAAACCATGGGGGGATCCATCGATGTTACATGATTTTACCATCAAACACAGGGCCTTCAAAGTCCCTTGGGGATCATCATTAAGCATGATACGAACATATAAAGGACAGATAAATCAGTTACCATATTTCATTGGACATAAGTTACCATACCATATGTTCGTAACATGATACAGATATACACATAAATATTGGGCAACACAGAAACAAGTTATATTCAAAACCGTACGCCGTAGAGCAGATTCGCACTCTCATACTTGGGCATATCAGAACCAGCAGATTAGTTTCGTACCTCGAAATCCCAAGCGCAGCCACTGCCAGGCACCACGGACACCATCGAATGCGGCGTCGCGGCTGCGACGAGGCAGCGTGTAGGCACATGGTGCTCAGAATTTCATGGGGGATCATCTCAAATAGAGTTGAAAACGACAAACATGAACCAAAAATTGAAACTATCCAACAGTGATGGGGTAGGTCAAAACTCTGGTATCCCAGGTACCTTAAAATATCTGGTTAATAAGTTAATAATTGGTTATTCCCCCAAATATGGCAATAAGTTTTACTTGTTCCTATGGCAATATGACTTTCTTAACTCACTGGCATCACCGGCGCTGACGTGCAGAAACTGCACGACCACCTTGATAAATCTAAGGTGAGCTCTACAGCAAGGTGGTCCCAAGATTCGTTGAGCCCGTTGGTGACTCTGGCATTTGACATGGTGATCCAACAACATCGTAGTATAATAAGAAAGATTACAATCCCAGAAATCTCAAAAAAAACATGATTTAAAATTGAGAACATATTGAGTATTATCCATGTTCTTGCTAACCAGCTATTGGATCTATTGGGAGGTTATTTCTGCAACTGGCATGCATGACAGTTGCATACAATGGCTGGAGTGGCTGAAAGCTGCAAACGGCACTCAACGGACTAGTGGCATGCAACTATTGACAGGTCAATAAGTGGGCCACGAACTTCGGATGTCATTAAGAAATGAATTTGCAACCCAGCAGGAAAATGTTGTACAATCTGAATCTAAACCTGGATCACACTGACATGTTTCATTCTAGATTTCGCAAACGCATTTGCATCTGGAGGAGAGTTCACAACTCACCTATCTACCACATCAACATGTTCCAGAAAACACACCTAATTTTACCCAAAGGTTTCTTTGTGAGTAATTACGTTTCCCCTTTCTTGGTGCTGAAACATAATAAACATATCCAGTGGAATGCGCAGCAACCATGGCCTCAAATCGCAACAACCAGGCGCAAACTCCAAACATGTTTTTCGTCACCGATTGTGCAATGCTCCAGCCAAAGCGGGGAACTTCTTGGAGGCACCCCTGAGGTTGACGATGGGCAAATCTGCAAAATGGATATGTGATGATATGTGACAGATGCCAAAGCTGAAACTCGAGAAACAACACATGGCCCAACTGTAAAAACAGACTCAATGTCTTCAGCCAGCCAACTATCCAATCTGAACGCACCCAAATCAGGAAAACTTCATACATTAGATGCAAAAGATTGTTAAAGGATGAGGTGCAGGGGGCCACATCCATACATCCAATGGTTCATGAGTTCATGGCGAAATTTGCCAAATACCAGTATCACGAATCCCTGCCAGATACCTAACGCACCAGCGTCCAGTTCCCACGCCCTAAATTCCCAAGGCTCACCTGGCATTTTGGCGATCTGATGGTAGGTGTTCGGTTGAGCGGCGATGCGGCCAACCACCTGCACGGCAGACACCCAAACTTGAAGCGAACAATTGACAGGCCAGGAGCACTCGCCTTCACTTCCCTCGTGACTTTTCACGATGATTCGGGCGACCAAGGAACAATGTGCACAGATTGGATCACACAGCGGTGTTTTTTTGACGCTTCAGGCAGGCAACAGCAAAGCTCAAGAACGGTTCCTCAAAGTCTGTATTGCACAACAAAGCAGGGATAAGCCTGCTCCCTGTCAAAGATCACATGCTCTTGATGAATTTGTTCTTGGTTCTGGTGGCCAGTTATCAGGCCAGGTTTTACCATAATTGAATCGTAGGTGCCCAATGATGAATCACTCCTCAGGGGCGGCCTTCGGTCATTCTTCCTGGTTCCAGTTGCAACATAGGAATCACCGAGTGCAACTCGAGCGATGATCAAAGTCCTTTCACATGCGTGACTGAGGTCCTTTGAAGTGCTCGCACGTGTACTGATGAGATTTACATGCGGCACACGCAAAATAGACACCCAAACCGTACAGGCCATTCTGACAGGTTCGATGGTCAAATCCCTCTCGAACAATGGCATCGGCATTATCCGAAGAGGTGCCGTGCAACAAAATCTTCTCATCTACGTCAAGAGCCAATGTCTCTCCACAGTTGAAGAATTCCTGACATTCGGCCATGCAGGGGAACACGCCATCAAGATCCAGCTCTGCAGGTTCCACAGAGATTTTGTATGTGCCATGGTCCCCGCGCATTGCATCCAGCCGCATCCTGTAGCGATGCCAAAGGCGCATGTTCTCAATGCGATGCACAGACTGCACCCATGCTCTTCTCATGCAGGAACAGTCGCTCCATGCATCTTGTGCATGACCAGAGGAGTCCAAAATATACTGAATTGCCTCCCAAATTTCGGGGTCAGCTTCCTCCTTGTAAAAAGATCCCAAATCATTCCCCTGTAGCAGCAAGTCCGGCACAGAAGACTCCCAAACGGGGGGAACACCAGGCAAAGCACGGATGCTGCGAGTCTTTCCAGTCCTTAGGTGCATCTGCTGCATCAATTTGAAATCCACCTGACGGTCCACTCCACCTGAGCTGATCGTCACAAATTGGGTGCCAGGAATCTCTCTGACATAGTCGAGGTATGCCTGGAGCATGTGTTCATTCGCCTCAGGTGTGAACTCTTCCCAGCGACCGTCCATGTAATATTGCCATGTCACACCACGTCTGAGGGCAGAACCGCTGTTCTGCGTCTGCAGTTGTGCTTGCAGCTCGTCCTTCTCAACGGTCACGGTCTCCAACACATCTTGCAGGATTGCCAGTTGATCCTCAGCGGCTTTGCGCAACGCTTTCTCGGCATCCAACTTTTGAATTGTTTGCTGGCAAAGCATTTCAGCTCTCTTCCGTTTCTGTGTTTCAGCGGCGAGGTCCACACGTTTCAACTTCTGAAACTCTGCTTCTAACTGGTCCTTTTCCGCCAATAAGATCTCTAGCATATCTTGCAACCGTGCAACCTGATCACAAGCTTTGTGGTTCTCGTTTTCAACAAGCAGCTCCTCACATTTCCTTGCCATGGCGCTCAATTGCTCTTGCAGGCATAGCATTTCAGCTCTCTGCCGTTTCTGTGTTTCAGCAGCGAGCTGTTTCGAAAGAGTGTCAGCTGCAGCATCCATGGTGAATGAGGAGCAATGAGCTTGTGTCAGAGTCCCTGCTCAAATCCTGTGATCTAAGGACACGTCATAATAGAGTCGATTTTACTGTAGAAGTAACCTGTTGGCTGTCTTGCCACCTATCTGGCTACATGTGATGAAAGTTAGTGCCACCTCATTGTGTTTGAAGCAACCTTCGACACCTAAAATGACATCGAAGAATTCATTGGGGTAAGCCGCTACCACAGTCACTTGAGCCCCCCACTTGCAACATCAAGTGACTCGAAGATGTGTCTTTCCAAAAAAAAACTAAGTCAAGTGTCAAGGAAATTCAACGAAAATGAAGGGAGGATGGCGAATGTCCCATACAAAGTTGAACAACCCCAGCTTTTTCTGATGAGAGCAGCCAGCAAACTTGGAATTTGACTGGGGAGTTCCAATGTTTCCGCTTATGAATCCTACCCCCTGCCTCAACCCGTGATCTCCTCCATATTCAGTGCTTGTGCGAACGTGGCCTGGCAAACAGAAGTTGAAAGACTCAGTAAAGAACTGCGATTTCTCCAAATGAAGCAAGAAGAAAGACCTTTCAAAATGGCGCAAGATTGAGACGGGGAAATCATGACCTAGAGGGGTCGAAATTCTTGGGATTTGATCGAGAGGGGTAAAACCTGTGGAAATAGTTCTCTTGTTCGAATGGATTCAATAATGCCTTAAAATTGCTGTTTTCTAGCTCGGATTGTTGGTGATATGGCTGTAGTAAGACTAATTTTGGAATATAATGAGAACAACCATAATGGGACGAAGAATGATATAGAGGGTATCATTCTTGTATATAACATCTGACTGCTGCAATCATGTTGGGGGTTGAGGGTTAGTTAGAATGGTACTATCATATATATATATCATTCACCATGATGGTTTACCTGAAAAACATGTTGTTTTTATCTTCTCATAAGCTTATTGCCTACCACAAAAACTTACGAAATTGAATTGGTTTTTCCCACGGGGTGTATGTGCCGGATCTTTGGATAAGGGATCTGATGATCTTATTGCATACTGGCTTGAAATACTCTTGCATAATGCCTGCCCAAGTCAGGCGGTACGCTTTGCACCGTTACCAAACCCACCTGATGTAGCTCATCTGAACCAAATGGCCCTCGAAATTGCTGATTGTTTCCAACCCCCAAAATCATTCAATCAATTCAACCCATAAATAAATGCTGTTCAACCCCCAACAAGCAAAATATGAGCTTTAACACCCCCCAAAGAATGTAACTCAACATATATCAACTCATCTCAAGTGCATCTTAAGGCCCAAATCAAGAACCTTTTCAATCTTTGCACCAATTATCTCCTATCCAAGCTACCCAAAAACAACATCTTCTCACCTAAACTCAAGTTTTCCATAGGTTTCCTTGGTTTTTCCATTGTTGTTCCATGGTTTTTCCATTGTTTTTTCTAGTTGTTCCTTAGTTTGTCCATAGTTTTTCCATAGTTTTTCTATGGTTTTTCCTTAGTTTTTCCATAGTTGTTCTATGGTTTTTCCATGTTTTTCCATTGTTTTTTCAGTGTTTTTCCTTTGTTTTTCTATTGTTTTTTACATGTTTTTTTCCATTGTTTTTTATGGTTTTTCCACTGCTGTTCTATGGTTTTTCCTTGGTTTTTCTATGTTTTTTCCATGGTTTTTCCATTCCATGGTTTTTCCATGGTTTCCCTTGAAGTTTTCCCAACTTTTCCATGCCCGGCTCGGCGTCCGCACTGGCCAGCGCCAGAGGACGCGGCAGCGGTCGTCGTAGCCGCCGTCCAGGACGCCGACCTTGAGCTCTTCGCCGTCGCGCAGCTGGAGCACCTTTTGGCGACCGATGCCAAGCAGTCCAAGTGGACGATTGGATGGTATATTGATGGTATAACATTATAGCAATATTGGTAATATATGATGGTATAATGATGGTATATTCTATATATATATATATATATTGCTATAATGTTATATAGAATATTAGAAAAACTATATGTAATGATATTGGTATTGCGAATCGGCGATTG